AGCACGCCTCTATCAAAAGTTATTTGCGAAAAACTGTTAGATACCATTCGTGACCTAAGATGACCTCAGGGCATAAACAGGGGTCACAGACACCATTTTCATGTTCAGTGTGTCTAAACCACTTGTAATTCAGTGTTTGGGAGTGTTTATAATGTCTTTCGTCCAAAAAAAGGCGCATTTCAATTTTCTCCCATTGACTTATAATGGTGAGGTCGCAAAGTTGACCTGACCTTAGGTCATCGATATCAAAATTCTGAGATATACATTTTGTACATGCTATTGCTCTTAGCAATCGCTGAAAGTTTCAAAGCGATCGGTCACTCGGTGTAGCTATGACAGACATTGAAACTTTTTATGAGGTGAGGTCACTTCGAGTGACCTGGTGACCTGACCTTGGATGACCTTGGTCTGAAATTTTCACAACATGTGTAGAATTGATGTATGATAAGGTGTACCAAAAACGGCGGCGCTCCGCGCCGCCGTTTTTGAGATATTCGCGAAAAACCACAAGGGGGGGTGTTCAAACACCCCCCCCCCCAGCAGGGCGCGGGTTAATACGGCTTGAAATCGGTCATTGTTTTGCTTTTCTGAATTTGTTCCCTGATCTGACCTAACCTGCTGAGCTATACGAGGGGGTATCGAAAAGTTCTGATCATCACATAGAAGATATAGACCGATTTTGATGATTTTTGGTTGGTATTTTATTTGGTTCTCAGGAACAATGTTCCCGCAAAGAAAATCCTGAAAAGTGGTTTTATCTTGTGTAGGAGAGACTAAGAAGTAAAAAAAGATGAGTATTGGGCCCATTGAGGACCGAACCGTCATCCAACTAATGCATTTGAAACGGTATCACACTGAGAAAATACATTAAGAACGTGAAATTAGTTTACGGCGAGGAAAGCCCATCTCATGCACTTACCGAAAATGAAATAATTTTCAACTTGGTTGCATGGCCCTTGCAGGGGAGCCAAGAAGTGAGTGACTACCAATGACTGACAAGGTGGTGACTGTGAAGGAAGTGGAGGACCTCATCCTTACAGATCGTCGTCTGACCTTGCAGATGATTGTGCAACAGAAAGGTCTTGATGCTGGTAGTGCCTGAAAATATTATCAGAGAAGAACTACAGACGATAAAGGAGTCAGCCCGCTTAGAAGCTCGTGTGTCTATTTTGTTCAAGAGAAAAATGCGTCTTGGCCTTTCGAAACGAAAACTAGGCCTTTTTTTAGGAAATTGAAGACATCTTCGATCGTTTGATGACTTGTGACGAATGCTGGGTCTATGTGTATGATCCAGAGACAAAAAGATGATCAAGAAGTTGAAGCACAGCACATCTGTCCTTCTTAAAAAGCGAAGATGCAGAAGCCGATATGGAAGGTCAATGCTATCAGTGTTCTGGATCCGGCGTAGGATAGTCATTACCGACTGTCTTGATGATGGTCGGATAATGATTAGCAAGCTCTACTGCACACTTTTGAAAAAGTTGCGAGATGGCCTCGAGCAGAATCGCCGCAAAAAAAGCCCAAGAAAGATGTTTTATCCGCATCGACAGCGCCCCCGCCCATTCGTCGTGAGCTGCGATTGAAGCAACAACATGATATGGACATTAAATCCCACCGCATCTAACAAATTCACCTGACCGGGTATTAACTGACTCTTGATTGTTACGGCAGGTGAAGAATCCACAGTATGGCCGGTGATTTAAGGACAGAAATGACGTCATTGATGAGGTGGAGCAGCGATTTACGGGACGGTGCGAAGGTCCTACAATGACCGCCTGAGGCAGCTCAAGAAACGATGCAATAAGTTTGCGGTCGTGTGTGGTGACTTGAGAAGGAGTACTGAACATCATGTAAAAAAAAAATCAAATTTCTATCGCATATAATTCATGGTGATGATCAGAACTTTTCGATACCCCCTCGTAGTAGGTGTTGCCCTGTCCTGCCGCCGCTGCTGTCGGCGGTGCTGACCTGACCTGTCCCGTCCCGTCCCTCCCTGCCGTAGGACGTGCTGCCGCCGCTGCTGTCGGCGGTGCGGCAGCAGGACCAGCTGCTGGCGCACGAGTTCTACCACAGCACCGAGTGGCAGACGGTGCTGCAACTCATGGACGCGGCCGGCGCGGCCGGCGCCGGCGGACCGGGCGCCCAGGTCAGTTATAACAGGCCGGGTACAGGGACCACGGCGCAGGTCAGTTACAGGGACGGAACAGAGGAAACATAAGAGGATGAGGGAGTCACTAGGGGACGGGGGCTCACTGGCTGGGTACAGGTCAGTCACAGGGGGACCGGGTTCAGGGACGAGGACGTCTCGCAGATCAGTCAGAGGAGGACGGATCTACGGCTCAGGCCCGACTGGCTTTTCTGTTTTGTTTTTATAATGCCGTTCTTCCGACGTCGGGATAATATCAATAGCATTAGCCATTTGATCCTTGTCGATTAAATTTAGCGCTTTGTATGATCTCTTGCTATATTTATCCAATTCCCAACGCGTAATATATTGAGTCGCCTCAATTATCGTCCCCTATTGAAATAAGTGTGCTGATAGTTATCTAAAAGAATCGCCTTAAAGGTAGTGTGCCACCTTTGAAAGATTTCCCATTTTATTTTTCCTAGGATAAGAAGCTTCTGTTTTTACCTAATATCGCAAAAAAATCAAAAATGGGCCTGGAATAGTGCCTTTTTCGCCTAAAAGTTTTTCGGTTTTTAGATATGTATAACAACTGTAGTGGGCTCACCTGCAAACAGGCGTCGGGCAACAATCGCGAATGCGGCGCACTTGTGACAATAAGCAAAGGTCATTATAGTGTTACGACCATACGACGTACGGGAATGAGTTATCAGCTGTCTAATCGTAGACAACACAATGTCGAGCCTTAAACTGTAAGCCCGTATTGGTATTGTTTCTTTTATTTGGCTGTCGAACATTATTTATGGTTTGAAATATGATTTTATGTAAAATAATTGATATGAAAAAGCCGTCTTATAAGTTATGACCCCATTTCACCACACGCAAGTGGCAGAAATGACAATGATCAGCTGACGCATTTTTCTTGGCCGAAGTCAGAGCGCGCGGCCCGACGCACCACGCGTATTTGGAAATTCCGACCTCGACGAGCATCAGAAGCCACCTAACAGGCGTGTTCGAAACCGCAGGAGATGATGATGAACGGGTTTATCGAAACTTGATTGGATGAACATATCGGTAATAGCGATTTCAGTGTGTGCATTTATTGTTCATAGTGGTGTGAAATGTGGTTGGGGTACGACCGACAACCCGTCGGGGCGAATTTCGCACTGGGGTACTCAAAATTTGAAGAATTTAAGACGTTTCCATGAGTTTTGAAGGTATGGATAAGTTCTAAAAATCCGGTTCTCCTTATCTGGGCCATTAACTCCATACGGTCCAAGAAAGTTTGTTTGTTTTGTTGGGTTAGGCCCTTTCGGTCGACAAGACCATTGCAGAGCCGGAAGGATGATAGGAATTAGGGGGGGACATTGGTCTGGGCAGGCACCCTAGTGAGTCGCCGGGGCTGAACCCGTCCGAAGACAGGCCACCCAGCCCCAAGGCACTCACTGCACCCGGCTACGGGGTGCGCTCCCTCGGGAGCAGCGGTGCCGCTCCAAGGGAGCAGCCCGCATGAGATAAAGTTGCCTGTCCAGCCCGGAAGGGGGTTGCGGTGTGGAGGAGAAGGATTTCAGTATCCTGAGGATAGAAGCACGGATAGGTGTGGTCCAAGAAAGCTGGCACACTACCTTTAATTAGTTTTGTCGCGCATCCACAGCAGCTCTTCAGTGTCACGTCATAACTCACAACCCTCATGTGCCGTCCCTGGCCAGCCCAATCCTCAGTGTCAGTGTCCCCCGCTACCTCCCGCCCGCCCCTGACCAGTGTTTGCGCGGGTGTGCCTGCAGATGTCTCCGGTGGCGGCGGCGGACGCCTGGGCGTGCCAGCACTGCACGTTCCTGAACCGGGCCGAGAGCGGCACCTGCGAGATCTGCCAGCTGCCCAAAATGTAGCCGGCCGGCCGGCGGCGCTTCACCTACAGTCAGTAGGCCAGGCTGTGGTAGAGCGAGGGAGGGCTGCCAGGGACGGCGGAGCGTGTCCAAAGACCGCGCACTGCGTGTACAGGGCGGACGGAGCCAGACCCGCGGCCGGCAGGGATACGGTAGGCCACAGTCATGGGAGTCTGTGTACCCCGCGCGTACACAATACCAACATACGCGCGTGCATAGTACACAGTGTATGTAGGAAGGCCGCTGCTCGGTGATAACCCGAGATAGATCGAATTGTGATTGAACCACAGTGGGGCGAGCCAGCGGGTCACGCCGGCCGACTAGAGACCCGAGTGTGGAGAGCGGCCACAGGCGCACAGCGGCCGGACGGCGGTACGACCCGGCGCCGGGCGGTACCGGTACCGGTCCGGTCCGGACCGGGTCAGCGGGTCAGCGCGCCGCGCCGGGTCTCAGGTCAGCTGTCCGCGCCGGGTCGCGGGTCAGAGGGCCGCGCCGGGTCTCGGGTCAGCGCGCCGCGCCGGGTCAGCGGGTCAGCGCGCCGCGCCGGGTCGCGGTCAGCGGGTCAGCGCGCCGCGCCGGGTCTCGGGTCAGCGCGCCGCGCCGGGTCGCGGGTCAGCGGTCCGGACCGGGCCACGGGTCAGCGGACCGCGCCGGGTCTCGGGTCAGCTGTCCGCGCCGGGTCGCGGGTCAGCGCGCCGCGCCGGGTCTCTGAGCGCCCTGTGCCAGTGCCGCCGGCTCATCGCCCGCCAGACTGGGATCGATAGGGCCGGTCAGACGGGCCCCACAGCACGTGTTTGTCATTTCTCAATAAATTATATCGAGATATGAGCTGCCGTTTGACCAGAGACCACGAATGAACGCATGTAACGTAGACAGTGAACATGACCTATCAAAGATGCAGTCTATTTTCATGCCCGGTTTACACCTCCAGTCTCTAGGGAACTGACCGCGTCTCCGATATTGGTGCCCCACAATCGCACAACGCGGGCGGGAACGCGTCCAGCTCTGTATTCCAAGCTCCACGAAGACAGTCCACCCAGCACACACAGCGAATTATGAACAGAACCAATGAAAGTGACGCCAGCACACCACACCGAACTAGCACACACACACATACGCACACACACATGCACAGTCTGAGAGACCGTGTGACTACGCCGGCCGTGAGACAGCGGGAATCAGCAGCGGGCCGCCCGCACAGCGGTAATGGCCACCGCGGGGCACAGGCGCGCGGCACAGCTCTCCATGGGAAGGGCCCAGTTCCCGTCACTGAGTATATGCTATCCAGTGATCCCGAAACCGACATACCCTCCACACCCCAGTTTGTTGATCTCCAAATCACACGGATGATGCGTCTTATGCGTCCTACTCCAGATCAGAGCCTGAACATTGGGTTCAGCACATGTCGATCACACACGGCGCCATGATTTCGAGCCTCCAGCCGGCCGCTACACTATTGTCATATCCCCGTGCCCGGTCGCCGTTCCGTACACTCCTGTCCTAATCGGCCGGCCGCTACAACACTGTCATATCCCCGTCCCGGTCCGCTACGATACTGTCAGCCCGGCGCCGCCGCTCCGTACCGTGCTGTCCCGACTGGCCACGGCGCACAGACACACGGGGTGCGACGAGCCAGAGAACTCACTGGCAACCAACTGGCCCCAGCCGCCTCCCAGCTACCGACTGGCCAGTGCTGGGCGGCCAATGGGACCGTCCGTGCCGGCCCAGTGCGTTGTACGGCCGCGCCCGGCGCTGCAGATGTAATGGGCTACGTCGTACTGCGTGCAGTGAGACAGGCCTGGCGGCCAAAGCACCCCACCGCGCGGTCGGCCACGTTAAAACACCGCGTCACGCCAGAACAGGGCGGCGCCACAGCTCACTGCACGACGTCACCAGTCAGGTCAGGTCACCGGCCCCGGCTCCGGAAACCACATGAAGCTGCTGAATCCCTCTACATGAAGCTGTTGTAGCTGTTGCCGCCCATCTGCGAGCTGTTGCCGTTGAAGCCGCCCATGCCGCCGCCCCCGCCGCCTCCGCCAAAGCCTGTCAGGGGGGGGGGGGGGGAGGAAGAGTTCAGATCTCAGAGTAAGGGGGCAGCGGGAGGTGACATAAAGGGCGACTTTATTCCAGTGGAGGCGTCAATCCTATAAAACATTATCCATCCTCAACTTGCTTTGCAGGCACGCGAATCGTGAATACACGTTAGCACTGACGCGACCACGCAGTGAATCACGAAAACAAACCACCCTGTCACAGCCACCGTGTCCCGGATCGTATGCCAGGCAAACAGGGCCCTAGGCCTGATGATCAGAACCTTTCAGGCCGGGACTAAGAGATCGAAATTTAACAAACATATGTTACTCGTTACTTACTATGCCAATGTTCGTTCAATTTTGGAATACGGTTGCGTGGTCTGGGCGGGAGCGGCCAAATCCCACACAGCGGGTTGATCGTGTGCAGCACAAGGTCTTGTTGTGGTTGAATAGCCACACATCCTCGCCATGTTCCTCTCTGTCCTATCCTTCTCTTCTGCATCATTTTGGTATTACATCACTGTCTGTCCGTAGAAACCAACACGACCTGCTCTTCCTGAGGAATATCCTGGCCGGTAAAATCCGTTCTTCTAACCTCCTTGGTAGATTTCCGCTCCATGTGCCGCCGCGATCAACCCGCTCACAGCGGCTCTTCGCCGAGCTTCCCTGGCGCGTACGGACCGTCGGGGATGGTTTTCTGCGCCGACTACCGAAGGCCATGAACGTGTTTTTAACTAGAAGTCCCGCTGATGTTTTTAGCGATAGTTTTTACACTTTTAGAGGACACGTTTTAAACTATGTGAAAGGGCTGGAAGCGGCGTGATCGCATCCGCTGTGCTTTTAGTGTTTCTTGTTTACTACAGGCCTTTAGGCTTTTTAGCTTTTTAGTTTTGTAGGTTTTTTAGGCTATTATTTATTTATTTACATCTCCTGTGTTTATAACTCTACGTGTTTTTATCTTCAGTGTGTGTGGGTGTGTGTGTGTTGTGTGTGTGTGTGGGTGTGTGCTGTTTTACTGTCCCTTTGACTTCGCCTTTTAAGTGGACTTATTGTCTGTTGGCGATTTTGAATATACAAATACAAATACAAATACAGCCCACAGGTGGCCACTGTGTTCCGAGAGCCGGGACGCTACGTCGGGCAGTTTGTGCGTGAACACCGGCGATAACTCAATCGGCCCATCATCCTGCTCCCAAGTTCTCTGGACTGCCAATACACTGACCACGGACGGCACGAAGGACGCTCCCCGCTGCCGCGGAGTTCTCACCTCCGAATCCGCCGCGCCCCGGGCCGTGGCCGCCGCCGAAACCGCCGCCGCCGCCGCCAGCGCCCATCCCTGGGCCGCCGCCGCCGCCCATCCCTGGGCCGCCACCGCCCATGCCGGGCCCGCCGCCTCCCATGCCGGGACCGCCGCCGCCCATGCCGGGGCCGCCGAAGCCGCCGCCGTAGCCGGCCATGTTGCCGTAGTTGCCGGCCGGCGTGCTGTTCAGGAACAGCTCGATGTAGCGGTGCGCCATGTGAGACTTGTCCTGTGACACAGATGAGCGGGGGGAGGGGTCTCAGAGCGCGTGGGAGAGGCCGGGGAGGGGAAGGGGTGCTCAGGGCATGAGGGAGACGCGGCCGGGAAGGAGAAGACGAATGACAGCAGAAGGTTGAGATCGCCTTGTTTCAGTTCGGGGGGAGCGCGAAAGGAATAGAAGGGACAGAAGGGAGAAGGGCATAGCGATGACAGGATATGTCAACAGTATAACTACATAATGCATTTTTGCAAGATTTCATTAAAACAAGGCGATGGTGCACTTGGCTCCACTAGGCACCAACACTAACATATTCACAATATTTAAGAAGCGCCAGCAGCCCAGTGCCGCTCAGCCGGCCGACAGCAGACGGTACCTTGGCCGGCCGGCACTGTACGGTACCTTGGCCATGGCCTTGACGGCCTCCTCGTGGCTGGAGAAGTCCACGTTGGCCTGTCCCGACGGACGGCCCAGGTCGTCGAACAACATGTGGACGTGGAACGGCACCAGCGGGCGGAAAAACTGGGCGGAGAACACAGACACACAGCGTCAGATAACGGGGAGCGGCACCAGCGGGCGGAAAAACTGGGCGGAAAACACAGACACACATCGTCAGATAACGGGGAGCGGCACCAGCGGGCGGAAAAACTGGGCGGAAAACACAGACACACATCGTCAGATAACGGGGAGCGGCACCAGCGGGCGGAAAAACTGGGCGGAAAACACAGACACACAGCGTCAGATAACGGGGAGCGGCACCAGCGGGCGGAAAAACAGCGGGAAAATACATACACAGCGTCAGATAACGGGGAGCGGCACCAGCGGGCGGAAAAACTCGGCGGAAAACACAGACACACATCGTCAGATAACGGGGAGCGGCACCAGCGGGCGGAAAAACTGGGCGGAAAACACAGACACACAGCGTCAGATAACGGGGAGCGGCACCAGCGGGCGGAAAAACTGAGCGGAGAACACAGACATACAGCGTCAGATAACGGGGAGCGGCACCAGCGGGCGGAAAAACTGGGCGGAGAACACAGACACACAGCGTCAGATAACGGGGAGCGGCACCAGCGGGCGGAAAAACTGAGCGGAGAACACAGACACACAGCGTCAGATAACGGAGAGCGGCACCAGCGCACAGTGGGGATTTTTCCGATCTACCACGTCTTTATTCGTAGAGGGCAAACCATAGGTAGAATTGTAGCCAGATTGTGCACAGATGCTGGCTGGTGTGTCCTGGTGAGAATTTTACCTGTAAATGTGCATAATCAACAAAGTATAGGGGGTTCAATTGGACCCCCGGCTCAGCCGTTTGGCCCCTGATCAAGCTAGAGCTTCGCGGAAAAATCAAGCGTGCTGCCTATGACGAAATGCGGCCGAATATATCCAATTTCAAAGTCCAAGGTCATAAGTTGACTTTCCAAGTCAGTTTAATGACCCAACTAAAGTTGGGAAATCGAGACCTCTTGAAACTTCGCAAAGTTAGGGTGTTACGGGGAATTTTGGGGAGCTGATCACGAATTTCATGTTAGTTTTGATCACAGACGATGTCTTTATGCATTTAGGCCAGGTCGGGTCAGGTCAGGTTAGATCAACCAGTAGGTGTACTGCCGGCCATCCATAGTAGGTGTCACCTACTACTGATAGCTTCGTAACATGGAACGAAGCCACCAGAACTACTTCGTAAATATTCAAATGTCTGCTAAATTCGAAATCAGCACCAAAAACTACCCTAGAAACAAGAACAACTCGAAAAAGTGAACCAAGGTCATCAAAAGGTCAATGACCTTGACTTGACCTTCACGTGACCTTGACACCCACCATAATGCATGGCACCAACATCATTTCACATATTTGAACGTTTAAAACCACAAAAAGACTGGAAACCGCGGATAATGTGAGCTGGCATACGCCGAATCGCGATTCCGGCCAAACATGGTCTCGAGAAATATGCCACAGGTCAAAGGTCAGTTGGGTCAGAGTCATGAAATTTTTAGGTTAGATGTAAAATTGATGATCTCGAGGGCACCGAAAGTTTCGGCGCGATCGGCCGCTTTTTGCGCGAGTAATTTGCGGAAAACCATGGGGTTTTATCCGACCCCTTCCCCCTCCCCCTCCCCACAAGTGCGATGGTTAATAAGGTTACGGTATGTATAATTTACGCTTGTCATCCTATTCCTAATGAATGTGTCTCAGAAAATATGCATCATATAAATCATGAAGAAAAATTATTCGCCAATGTCCGGAACATACCTATATCGTGCTGTTTGCCCTAGCGCTCCTAGAGTGGGGTGTTAAGATACTCTAATGTGAATATTCCGTGTTCAGGCAAGTTTCGGCAGCCAAACTAGGCGTTGTCTTGTGCAGGAGAAAGTGGCGAATTCGATAGGATATATTTCGGAGTGGAAAAGTGTGGAGAACGTTGTTGATTTCCTACATTTATTTAGAATACCATTCCTTCAATATGGTGTCTGTGAGGGTTTTTTGTAAAGGGCATTTTTGTGACCTTAGTAAGGTTGTGGCATTCTTTCTGTTTGCCATTCCATTCCTAATAAAGGTGCCTTTCAGAAGATATGCAACTTTAAGACCTCGCAAGATTAAAACCAACAGGACAGGACAATGAAATTGAGCGATACTTTCGGGCCTTGCTGAGCTCATTGAGTAATCACGCATGAGTGTGAACTTTGGGCGCATTTTTCCTAGTTTTGCTGTGGACATACAGATAAAACAATGCCATATATGAAAAATTCAGACATTTCTTAGCCCCACTGACAAAAAAATAAACAAAAATCCAAAATAGATTTTTTTGAATTAACCCTCGCATGTGTGCGGCGTTTTCCAGCTTCTAATGTGTAGGGGGGGGGGGTCGGTTGGACCCCCCCCCCCTTGCCGTTTGGCCCCTGATCGAGCTAGAGCTTCGCGGAAAAAACGAGCGTGTTGCCCGTGACGAGAGGAAGCCGATGATACCCAATTTTAGGGTCCTAGGTCATTGGTTGACCTTCCAGGTCAGGTCAATGACCCAAAGTCGGGAAAATCGGGACCTGTTAGAAAGTCGTAAAGTGCGGCTGCTAAGGGGTTTTTCGGGGTGCTGATCACGAATATCGTGTTAGTTTTGATCACAGATGATGTCTTGAAGCATTTAGACCAGGTCGGGTCAGGTCAGGTCAGGTCAACCAGTAGGCGTCGTGACGGGTATTCGTAGTACGTGCCAACCACCTCTGACAGCTTCGTAACATGTTACGAAGTCACCAAAACTACTTCGTAAATGTTCAAATGGTTGCTAAATTCGAATTCAGCTCCAAAAACTAGCCTAGAAACATGTAAAACTCGAAAAAGTGAACCGAGGTCACCCGAGGTCACCAAAGGTCAATGACCTGACCTGACCTTCAGGTGACCTTGACACCCACGGGAGTAACATCAAATCACATGTTTGAACGTTTGAAACCACGAAAAGCTTGCAAACGCGCGGCTAGTGCGAGCCGACATACGCGAAATCGCGATTCCGGCCAAACATGGTCTCGGAAAAGAGGTCACAGGTCAAAGGTCATTTGGGTCAGGGTCATGAAATTTTCAGGGTAGGTGTCAAATTGATCAATGCGAGGGTACTGAAAGTTTCGTCGCGATCGGCCGCTTTTTACGCGAGTTATTCGCGAAAAACCATGGGGGGGGGGTCCATCCGACCCCCCCCCCCCCCCTACACATGCGAGGGTTAAGAGGCGCTAGATCGGGAAAATCCCCACTGTGCAGCGGGTGGAAAAACTGGGCGGAGAACACAGAAACACGATAACGGGGAACGGCACCAGCGGACGGAAAAAACACAGACACACAGCGTCAGATAACGGGGAGCGGCACCTGCGGGCGGAAAAACTGAGCGGAAAACACAGACACACATCGTCAGATAACGGGGAGCGGCACCAGCGGGCGGAAAAACTGGGCGGAGAACACAGACAAACACAGCGTCAGATAAAGGGGAGCGGCACCAGCGGGCGGAAAAACTGGGCGGAGAACACAGACACACAGCGTCAGGTAACGGGGAGCGGCACCAGCGGGCGGAAAAACTGAGCGGAGAACACAGAAACACAGCGTCAGATAACGGAAAGCGGCACCAGCGGGCGGAAAAACTGAGCGGAAAACGCAGACACACAGCGTCAGATAACGGGGAGCGGCACCAGCGGGCGGAAAAACTGGGCGGAGAACACAGACACACTGCGTTAGGTAACGGGGAGCGGCACCAGCGGGCGGAAAAACTGAGCGGAAAACACAGACACACAGCGTCAGATAACGGGGAGCGGCACCAGCGGACGGAAAACTGAGCGGAAAACACAGACACACGATAACGGGGAGCGGCACCAGCGGGCGGAAAAACTGGGCGGAGAACACAGACACACTGCGTTAGGTAACGGGGAGCGGCACCAGCGGGCGGAAAAACTGAGCGGAAAACGCAGACACACAGCGTCAGGTAACGGGGAGCGGCACCAGCGGGCGGAAAAACTGAGCGGAAAACACAGACACACAGCGTCAGATAACGGGGAGCGGCACCAGCGGACGGAAAACTGAGCGGAAAACACAGACACACGATAACGGGGAGCGGCACCAGCGGGCGGAAAAACTGGGCGGAGAACACAGACACACTACGTTAGGTAACGGGGAGCGGCACCAGCGGGCGGAAAAACTGAGCGGAAAACACAGACACACAGCGTCAGGTAACGGGGAGCGGCACCAGCGGGCGGAAAAACTGAGCGGAGAACACAGAAACACAGCGTCAGATAACGGAAAGCGGCACCAGCGGGCGGAAAAACTGGGCGGAGAACACAGACACACTGCGTTAGGTAACGGGGAGCGGCACCAGCGGGCGGAAAAACTGGGCGGAAAAACACAGACAAACAGCGTCAGATAACGGGGAGCGGCACCAGCAGGCGGAAAAACTGAGCGGAGAACACAGACAAACAGCGTCAGATAACGGGGAGCGGCACCAGCGGGCGGAAAAACTGGGCGGAAAAACACAGACACACAGCGTCAGACGGACACTCGTGCGACAACGCAATACAATATCCAGCGCGGACCGCTGAACGGGGCGGCCAGGGAGGCGCTTCAAGACTTAACAGCACCAGTGGCCGATAGTAAAAGAGCGGATATACGACACCTTACAGCGCTGCAGTACCAACGTACCGTCAGTGAACTGCCAACACGGACGTCGTTAGAACGGCGACCGATAACGACCAATTTCCAACTAAAACCCGATACATTTCTACATTATCTATGAATATCACAATAAGTAGCACTGACCAGATAGCAGAAACGCTTGAAGTGGAAAAATCAGTACCGTAAAACCAGCCCATTCCACGGCTCCAAGGAGCGATGGTCTCCCCTCCCCCTTCCTAACGCTCGCTCACCTCGATAATGTCGGACTCTGTGCTTCTGTAGGGCAGGCCTCGCATGTGGACCGTGTGTCCGGAGAGAGACTTCCAGCCACCGCCGCCGCCGCCGCCGCCGCCGCCCATTCCCTTCATTCCGCCGCCGCCGCCACCCATTCCGCTGTTCATTCCGCCGCCCATTCCGCCACCCATTCCGCTGTTCATTCCTCCTCCCATTCCACCGCCCATTCCACCTCCCATCCCGCTATTCATTCCTCCACCCATTCCGCCGCCCATTCCGCTGTTCATTCCGCCGCCCATTCCGTTGCCGCCCCAGCCGCCGCCGCCGCCTCCGTCGTAGAAGTCGTCGTACTCCGACTGGAAGCCTGTCGAACAGGGATCGGTCAGTAGCGCAGAGCCGCGGCAGTATCCGGACTGAAACAGCCACTGCGCGGAACGGCCATTTCAGTTACTAGACGGCTCGTACCACATACATGGGGCATTCCACGATAGATCGACTAAAAAAACTTAAAATTTACACCCGCATATTTTATTTTTTGCTTAAAATTAGTCTAATGGGTTGTGATGGGCGGGGAACCCAGCTGTGGCAAGGATTTTTTTTCTTCGAACACCGGTTTCCGAGATATAGCCTCGGGCAGTTCCTGGAGGTCACGCTGCAACCCTATGTTTGGCGGCTTATAACTCAGAAACTATTGGTTTTCTATGGTAAAAACTTGACATGGTTCAACTCGCAATCAACCAACAAACGTTTTGGCTATCTCGGATTTTCGAATTTTGAAAATTTTGATCACGTGACATCTTGACCTTTTTCGAAGAGTGACCTTGATATTTTCCCAACTGAAAGTCGCAATTTTGTCTGATGACGATTAAAGCCTTATCAATTGTCATTCATATGCGATAATAAAAAAGTGGCTTTCGGCCTGCGTTGACCTCAGGTCAGGTCATTTTTATGACCTTCCAATTATTACGAGCGGGAGTGACAGCGAGATCTCGAGAACAAAGCAAGATAGCGACAAGCGGTAAACGGCACAGGGTACACATGGATAAGGTCTACAATTTTTACTCAGGTCATTTTCAGGTCAGGTCAAAGATGACGTCAAAGGGGTAAAAAGAAAGTCTAAATGGCGGCACTACATATATATGAAGTTTTTCTCGAATAACTTTCGAAGTATCCCAGCTAGGAACAAACTAATAGCACCATCGTGATCCTCTCGTCGATCCGCATCGAAACATGTGTATGTTGACCTCGAAAGGTCAAGGTCAAAAGTTGACCTTAGGTCACGTGACCTTAAGGTCATCATATATATCATTCGATGGGCCTTGACGAGCTGAACACAATGAGCCTATCCGCGCGGCTGTATCTCAAACCTGTAAGGAGTTATTAGCAAAAAACATTTGGTGACCTTTAATGACGTCACATGACCCAAGACTCAAGAGCAACGTCACAATTGACCAAGAGCAAAAAAGGTCTCAAGGTAGGCAAAGTTAGTCGCATATGGAGTCACTCATGGTATATTAGGCAATTCCGACACGTTTTAGTGTAAAAATAAGGGAGCTGATTTTTCCCCAATTGACTTATAATGGGGTGGTCAAGAAATTGACCTGACCTCAGGTCATCGGTATCGAAATTCAAAACGAACTGGCGCTAGGCGAAAGCAAACGGATTGGTGCCTATTCTACGTCTCTTTCTTTATTAGATCAAAAGGTGCAGCCAAAACTATTTTGACTTCCTTTTACCCCTGTGACGTCATCTTTGACCTGACCTGAAAATGACCTCAGTAAAAATTGTAGACCTTATCCGTGTGAATCCTGTATCGTTTACCACTTGTCGCTATCTTGCTTTAGTCTCGAGATCTCGCTGTCGCTCCCGCTCGTAATAATGGACAGGTCATAAAAATGACCTGATCTCAGGTCAATGCAGGCCGAAAGCCACTTCTTTATTGTCGCATATGAATGACAATTGATAAGGCTTTAATCGTCATCAGACAAAATTGCGACTTTCAGTTGGGAAAATATCAAGGTCACTCTTCGAAAAAAAGATCAAGATGTCACGTAATCAAAATTTTCAAAAATCGAAAATCCGAGATGGCCAAAACGTTTGCTGGTTGATTGCAAGTTGAACCATATAAAGTTTTTACCATTGAAAACCAATAGTTTCTGAGTTATAAGCCGCCAAACATAGGGTTGCAGCGTGACCTCCAGGAATTGCCTGAGGCTATATCTCGGAAACCGGTGTTCGAAGAAAAAAAAAATCCTTGGCTCAGCTGGCTTCCCCGCCCATAACAACCCATTTTACCAATTTTAAGCAAAAAAAATAAAATATGAGGGTGTACGGCTTTGGTCGATCTATCGTGGAATGCCCCACATGTCCCTGCAGCGTGAGCCATCCGCCATCCCGCCCGTGATCCCATCGGCGCTGCTGTCAGCCAGTCGCTAACCCCAGACCCCGGCTGTGAGTGCCGGACAGTCCAGTGATCACCCCTGTCTAGTGCCCACCCCTGTCCAGTGCCCACCTCCCCGTCCCCTGTCCCGGTTAGCAGTGGCGGACAGTCCGTCCAGTGCCCACCTCCCTGTCCCGGTTAGTAGTCACTGGAGGACAGCCCAGTGCCCACCTCCCTGTCCCCTGTCCCGGTTAGCAGTGGCGGACAGTCCAGTGCCCACCTCCCTGTCCCCTGTCCCGGTTAGCAGCGGCGGACAGTCCAGTGCCCACCTCCCTGTCCCCTGTCCCGGTTAGCAGCGGCGGACAGCCCAGTGCCCACCTCCCTGTCCCCTGTCCCGGTTAGCAGTCACTGGCGGACAGTCCCGGCCACTCACCCCTGCGCCCGCCGCGGCCGGCCGGCGGGCCGCCGAAGCGCGCGCCCGGGCCGCCGGCCAGTCCGGCGCCCCCGGCGGCGCCCCAGCCGGTGCCCGCGGGGCCCGGACCGCCGCCGCCGCGGTCGCCGCGGTCGTAGGGCGTGGGCCGCGCCAGCATCAGCGGCCGCACCTTGCCCGAGCCCTGGGCCGAGCGCACCTCGCTCAGACTGCTGCGGAATATCTCAATGTACCTGCGGGGGAGCGGCCGGCGGTCAGCGGTTAGCGGCGGCCTGGCGGGCGGAGTGGGCGGGTGTCGGGCGGACGGAGTGGGCGGGTGTCGGGCGGACCCAGTCGCTGGGGTTCAGGGGCGCATCAACAGAGGGGTCACTATGCGCTAACGGCTGAGAGTGGAGAAACATAAGGGAAGGACGAGTAAGAAGAACACAACGATGAAAGAAAAGTGCCAACCGCGGAGCTATTTGAGAGGAAAAGAAAAGAGGAACAGAAAATGAGTGAAGGAGAAGAAAATCCGATAAACAATTTAGGTAGCGGCAATTTCAAGAGCCCCAAGACACTTCAGGCCTGGACCGAGGACGCGGGAACAGGAGGTGTTTAGGGCTTCGGAGGGCAAAACGAAACCAGAACGAGACAACTTTAAAATCAAACTACGCCAGCCAGAACAGAACAACCATACGACCTGCTGAGGAATGCTGAGACGCGGAGGAAGGAAGTCCAACGACGGTGGGCACACCAGGCGAACATTAGCACAGCAAGTGTTGCCTTCAATAAAGGTAAGAATTAACACCACTTAACACAAGCCCTCGGTGCTTCGTTTCTGCCAATGAGACTGGCACTGCCAAAACACACAAGAAGGTAACAGTTATGTTAGTTCTATAGAACCTAGAACACAGACGAGGACGCAAAACCGCCACAAATCAGCATCAGAACTCACTATATCAGTGGTGCAGTACCCCGGACACCGATGACAGAGTGACCTCCGTATCTCCTCCCGCACGACTGACCTTCGGTGAACCAGCAATTTCCTCCCGATGGCCTCAGGTGACCTCCCGATGACCTCAGGTGACCTCCCAATAACCCTCGGTGAGCTCCCAGTAGACTGACCTCAGGTGACCTCCCGATGACTCCAGGTGACCTCCCGTTACATTGACCTCGGGTGACCTGATGACCTCAGATGGCCTCCCGTTACACTGACCTCGGATGACCTCCCGATGACCTGAGGTGAGCTCCCAGGATGGGCTGACCTCAGGTGACCGCCCGATGTCCTCCAAGTCCTCCGGAAGTCAGCTCATGCGACCTCGGTGACTTCAGCAGTCCAGACACCCTCCCGCTCCCCGCCACCGCGCGCTCCCGCCCCCCGCCACCGCACCCTCCCACTCCGCCAACACCCCTCACCAGTCCAGTCCCGACCCTACCCTGGCCAATACCCGTCTCTACCCTCCATCACCGCACCGACTGCCCTGACCTTACCCCTGCTGCACCCACCATTCGGCCATACCCCGCTACTACCTCTCCCCTCCCACTACCCCAACACTACCCCGCACTCTGCCCCCGGCCCCCACACCCTCTGCCCCGGCCCCCGGCCCCGCAGCAGGGCGCCCCACCTGTGGCCGATTTTCTCCTTATTTTTGGCCATGGCCCGCTCGGCGACCTCTCTGTTCACAAACTGGACATAGGCCTCGCCCGAGGAGCGTCCCTGACCGTCCAGGGGGATGGTAATGCCATTGGGGACCACCTCCAGCCCTGCGGAACCCGGCGGGCGCGTCACCAGGGGGCGCCGGGCGTCTCAGGGGACCGGCCGGGGCACCGGGCGTCTCAGGGGTACCGCGGGGTCTCAGAGGGGTCTCAGGGGTACCGCGGGGTCTCAGAGGGGTCTCTGGGGTACCGCGGGGTCCCAGGGGACCACCGGGATGGGGCCCACGCAGTCGGGGGGGGGGGTGGACGGTCCGCCGCGTTAGAGGGACAACACACGGTCACAGGTATGAGGTCAGAGAGACACGGCAGCTCGGCACACAGCCGCACACATCGCCAAGACACAAGCCAGCGCGCTGGTCAACGACACACGCCAGGCCTATGGCCCCAGCATCGTCAACAATACTGTGATGAATAATCATATCATATGACACACAGTTCCTAAGCAAAACTTAGCCTCCTTTAAGTTACAAAAAGCAGCGCACACAAGGTTTCCCTGTGAGCCGCCTCCCGCCCGTCCCCCGGCCGGCGGCCATCCTATCCTGACGGTCCCGTCCCTCCGCCGGCCGCCCCGTCCCTCCGCCGGCCGCCCGGTCCCCCGGCCGGCGGCTATCCTATCCTGACGGCCCCGTCCGCCGGCCGGCGTCCACTGACCGGAGAAGAAGTTGGCGATCTCCTCCTTGCTGCAGCTGTAGGGCAGGCCGCGCAGGCGCAGGCAGCCCTCGTCGAGCGGCGAGCCGGCGGCGGCCGCCACCCCGGAGCGCTTCATCACCCACTCCATTTCGGAGCGTTTGGAGCGGAACACTGCGCCGGAGCCGGACCGGGGGGAGGGGGGTCAGAGCCCGCCGCGCACCGCCCGGCGCCGCCGGCAGCCGCGAGCCGCTCAGAGAGAAGATTATCCGTCCGTCAGGCGGGAGAGGCGGCGGCGGCGGCGCGGCGACCATCGCAGCGCGCCGCCGCCGCCGCGCCTCGACCGGGTCCGGCGTGAGAGAGTCTAATCACAGCTGGCCGAGTGGGAGTCTAATCACAGCTGACCGGGGTGAGAGAGTCTAATCACAGCTGACCGGGGTGAGAGAGTCTAATCACACTGACCGGGGTGAGAGAGTCTAATCACAGCTGACCGGGGTGAGAGAGTCTAATCACAGCTGACCGGGGTGAGAGAGTCTAATCACAGCTGACCGAGTGGGAGTCTAATCACAGCTGACCGAGTGGGAGTCTAATCACAGCTGACCGGGATGAGAGAGTCTAATCACAGCTGACCGAGTGAGAGTCTAATCACAGCTGACCGGGGTGAGAGAGTCTAATCACAGCTGACCGGGGTGAGAGAGTCTAATCACAGCTGACCGGGGAGGAAGAGTCTAATCACAGCTGACCGAGTGGGATGAGAGAGTCTACATAATCACAGCTGACCGGGGTGAGAGAGTCTAATCACAGCTGACCGAGAGAGAGTCTAATCACAGCTGACCGAGTGGGAGTCTAATCACAGCTGACTGGGGTTCGACCGGATCCGGGGGAAAACACCCCATTCACAGCTCACAGAACACCCCATCGATTATACACAGAACACCCTATCCACAGCTCACAGAACACCCCGTCCGGCGTCCGCAGCTCACAGAACACCCATCGATAACTCACAGAACACCTCATCCACAGCTCACAGAACACCCTGTCGATAACTCACAGAACGTCCCATCCACAACTCACATAACACCCATTGATAACTCACAGAACACCCCATCCACAGCTCACAATATACACCCCATCGACTGCTCACAGAACACCCATCGATTATACACATAACACCCCATCGATAACTCACAAAACGCCCTATCCACAGCTCACAGAACACCCATCGATTATACACTTAACACCCATCGATAACTCACAGAACGCCCTATCCATAGCTCACAGAACACCCATCGATTATACACTTAACACCCATCGATAACTCACAGAACGCCCTATCCATAGCTCACAGAACACCCCATCCAAAGCTCACAGTATACAGTATACACCCCATCGACTGCTCACAGCAGGCTCAGCGCCGCCAGCTCACCCTCCACGTAGCGGTGTCCCATGGTGCAGTTGTGTTTCTTTTTGGCCGCCTCGAAGTCTGCCTCGGAGCAGAGCTCGACGTAGGCCTCGCCGCTGGGTCGTCCCTCGCGTGACAGCGTCAGGAACACACCCGCCTTGCCGCCCTTCACGTTCACCCCATCTGCGCCGCGCCGGGAACAGCGGTCAGTCAGTATCAGACAGAGGGACGGGGAGGGCGGTCAGTGTCAGTCAGGGGGACGGGGAGGGCGATCAGTGTCAGTCAGGGGGATGACGGTCAGTGTCAGTCAGGGGGACGGTGGTCAGTGTCAGTCAGGGGGACGGCGGTCAGTGTCAGTCAGGGGGACGGCGGTCAGTGTCAGTCAGGGGGACGGAGGTCAGCGTCAGTCAGGGGGACGGCGGTCAGTGTCAGACAGGGGGATGGGGGAGGGCGGTCAGTGTCAGACAGGGGGACGGGGACGGCGGTCAGTGTCAGTCAGGGGGACGGCGGTCAGTGTCAGTCAGGGGGACGGCGGTCAGTGTCAGTCAGGGGGACGGTGCTCAGTGTCAGTCAGGGGGACGGAAGACGGGGCTCAGTGTCAGATAGAGGGGACGGAGGAGGGCGGCCAGTGTCAGTCAGGGGGATGGCGGTCAGTGTCAGTCAGGGGGACGGGGAGGGTGGTCAGACAGAGGGGACGGAGGTCAGTGTCAGTCAGGGGGACGGCGGTCGGTGTCAGTCAGGGGGACGGCGGTCGGTGTCAGTCAGAGGGACAGCGGTCAGTGTCAGTCAGGGGGACGGGGACGGCGGTAAGTGTCAGTCAGGGGGAGGGCGGTCAGTGTCAGTCAGGGGGACGGGGAGGGCGGTCAGACAGAGGGGACGGAGGTCAGTGTCAGTCAGGGGGACGACGGTCGGTGTCAGTCAGGGGGACGGCGGTCGGTGTCAGTCAGAGGGACAGCGGTCAGTGTCAGTCAGGGGGACGGGGACGGCGGTAAGTGTCAGTCAGGGGGAGGGCGGTCAGTGTCAGGCAGAGGGGACGGGGAGGGCGGTCAGTGTCAGTCAGGGGGACGGAGGTCAGTGTCAGTCAGGGGGACGGTGCTCAGTGTCAGTCAGGGGGACGGCGGTGTCAGTCAGGGGGACGGCGGTGTCAGTCAGGGGAAGGGCGGTCAGTGTCAGTCAGGGGGACGGAGAATGGCGGCCAGCCAGGGCTCGGGCCAGTCTTTTTCTGTTCATTTGAAAAAGTCAGACGGATGCAGCGTGTGGGCTCTGTCGATTAGGGCGGAGGACGTGGGGGGGGGGGGGGGGGGCTCCCCAGTACGTGTGTCCGATTTGTGGCGCGCTGTGTCATTGTCGTACCTCCGAAGAAATGGATGATGTCCTCCTCAGTGGCTGCCCAGGGCAGGCCGCGCAGTCGGATCACGTGTCCCTCGTCATTGCTGTCGCCCGACATTCTGGGAAGGGACAGACACGTGACAGCAACCCGGTGACGGGTGAGACAGACATGTGACAGCCCGGTAATGGCATTTTTGCTGGCAAAAGCTAGCTTGTCATTTGCTGGTTTAAACCGCGCCCCAGTGGCAGTCTCAGCCAACTTCTGTGGGGGGGGGGCATATGTTACCACCATTACCACCCACCTCTAACTCAAAAACTAAGAGGGCTAGAAAGACGCGGTAAAAAGCAGTTGATAGCACTCAATGCGTATGATTGAAAGTATTTCAGTCATTTTTCATCTTAGAGCAATATTGGGATCACCAGAGCTCAGCAAAGGTCAAAATTTGCCAATTGTCATTAAATTTTTCAGAAAACATGCTGTTATCCCAGCAACCATGGATTAGGTATTCCTGGATTGGACACTCCGCCGATTTTCCGACCACCCGGCGGCGGCGGCGGATTTCCCGACGGCGAGGGCGCTGGCGCCATTTTAGCATTGCGGGCTATGGGCGGTGCGTGTCTTTTTGTATACTTTTGTCGTTTATTACTTACCTGTAACCGATTTTGATGAAAATTTTTGTGAACCTGGTAGAACAGGAATTGAGGAATGTCATGAAAATATTCTTTTCCCAGTTTTGATTTAAGAAGTTGCTTAAATTCTGCTGACAAGTGAGGGTTCGTAATTACAGCCGTAGAGCCAAAGTTAGAATAAAGTGAAGTTTTATGCGATAACATGAAAATAAGTTGATATTTGTATTAAATCATCAATAGGAACTTGTTTGACTGCCGAGGAACGATGATATTTGATGACAAATTGCATCGGCAAGTCAAGAATACCGGCTCAATTTATGGGCATCAGGTAATGATTCCGTATGTGATAGTGACTAAATGGAGCCATGAATATGATAAAAAAGGACTAAAAATTATGTTTAAAGAGTCTGAAATCGTTTCTTATGAGCTAAAGCTCGCTAATTTCGCCCTCCATTACCGCGTTTTTAGCACGCACGCCAATGCGGCGGCGGCCGGCGCACTCGCAGCCGATGTTTCGGCGCTCCGCCACTAGGGCGGCCGCTTGGTCGCCGGCGCTAGTGTTGGGGAATAGGGAGTGTCCTATCCAGGAATACTTCATCCATGCAGCAACTATGATAGCTAGAAAAAGGCATGGAAAAGCAAAAGATAGCTTTTGATTTTTGAACTCTTCTTTTGATAAGGCCATCATCAAAATTGACCTCAGGTCAATGGTTGAGCCTGCAGAGGGCAAAAACTCCAAAAATAGCTGGTGCAAATCATGCAGAAATTTCAGCGTGAAATCGCTTGTACTGAATTCTAGAGCAAGTGGGTCTAACTGGCGTTCGGCATAATGCCCAGATGTTTTCCAGTCTGGTCTGAAAAGAAACTGAAACGCCATGATGCTTGGCAGGAATTGCCTAGGCTCGTAACATAAATTTATTGTCAATGTTGGTTAGAGACCGGCTTTTATTAATTGATGCCAGTTTAAACTGGCTAAAATCAATAAAAGCCATTGCCTGGCATTAATTCAATTTTGATTTTGATTTCAGCCGGCGACTCAGCCCAAGTCCCAATGGTTTCATATTGGCATTTAAATTGCACTGAAATACGAATGTAATTGTTACCAACACGAACTGATTTAATTAGGTTAAAGACAACTTACCTCACAAAATTCTATAGATTTCGAGAAGGGTAAATCTAAACACCCTAAACCCCCTTCGTGACCACTCGTGCCCCACACAAAAGGCACAAAAGCGCACAAAGCAAGGCCAAAGCGGCGAGTAGCTGCGCCATTGTCAGCACATGTTTTTTAATTACACTAAGAAATGACAAATAATGCAAGGATTTAAAGGGACCCTCCCACCTTCAAAAAAAGATAATATATTGGCATGAAAGTGATGTCGCTCGGTTCAGAACGAGTGAAAACGATTATCTACCAAATTTCATCGAAAAATATTCATCGGTTTTAAAGATGTTATACTTTTTTCTAATTTCTTTTGTTTACTCTTTGGGATCCCCGCTGTTCCTACGACTTTGTTTGAAAGTGCGGCTTTGTTGCGCGCAAAGCAGCATAGGCATATACCCAGCGGTGTAACTTTCTATACTATGGGGGTGTAGGTGCACCCCCATCCCCTGAAAGTGCACCCCCATCACAAAGTGCACCCCCATAGGCTAAGCGGTGCCCCACACGCCGCCCGACACCGATAAGCTCCCAGTAAACATGCCGACGGCCGAGTCTCGGCCCGACGTCGGCCCAACGTTGGTTCAACCTCGGCCCGACATCGGCTGGACGTCGGATATGCCTGCATGTTCCGACGTCCAGCCGAAGTCCAGCCGACGTCGAGCCGACGTCGGGCCGAGGTCGTTTGCCGAGGTTGACGAGATCATTTGTCGTTGGACCGACGGGGCCGACGTCGGCATGTTTATTGGGACAACGCGCCAAAAATATCAACCGGCGGCGGGATTCGAGCCCCCCAGTCGCCGACGTCGGCATGATTACTGGGACAACACGCCAGAAGCATCAGCCGGTGATGGGATTCGAACCCCGTGTCATCTGAACGCGAGGTTGGTGCGCTAACCACTACACCACGCAGCCAGTTAGCGAATTTAGTATGTTTTGTTGGGTTATGCCCTTTCGGTCTGACAAGACCATTTCAGAGCCGGAAGGATGAGTAGGATGGAGACATTGGTCTTCTTGGCGAGCACCCTGGGTCCAGTTCATATAGAGTCCCTGGTCCCATTGCTGTTACGTGACACTTATTGGAAAGGGCGACCCCACAATGGATTCATATAGCCACTCTTACACACCTGCACTAGGACCTTAACCCGCGCCCCACTGGGGTCTGTGTATAACACGCCCTACTGGGGGGGGGGGGGGCTATTCATAGCCCCCCCTCCTAACTCCGAAACTACTGGGCCGATCGTCAAAATTCAAACGGCGTCTGATAGCCCAGGAAAAACTGTCGAGCGAAACCTTATTTCATTGAACTCGAGGTCACCGATGACGTCACAGGTCAGGTCAAAGTAAAAATTATTAGCATTTTGGTTTGTTCACATTTTGGGCTCTGGCCGCCGTCTTACAAGTCAGATCAGGCTCATTTTTGGTACACACACTCTTGAACAGATGCTCTAGATACCCTGAGGGTACCAAACTTTTACTTTGATTTTCAGGTCAAGGTCAGGTCATCACAGGTCACGAAAATATTTTATCATGCGTCGGTCACGTGACACATGTTTTATGGTCCATTTAGGCCATAGATTTCGAATTTGATGTTGTCTGTGTCATTCGAGGTCATTTTGAGTCGAATTTAGCTTAGGTCAGGTCACTTTCAGGTCAAAAAAGGTCAAATTTTGAAGTTGAAATTTTTCAACAAAAAAGGTGTCTATTGGATGCAGTTTGAGCTCAGAAACACGATGGTGCCATTTATATTGGTGTACGATGTCAAATACGTACTGAAAAATCGATTTGAAAAATTAATAATTGTGAATTTTTTGCAATAATGCGTATAACTTGGCCATTTTTGAAGATATTTAGCTAAAACTTGCTAGAGTTAGTCATAATCATGCGTTCTGTCACATATATTCCGTTTTTTCGAAAAAACAAAAACTTTTTGAAAAAAAAATATAAAAATATAAATTTTGAATATTATTATATAAAATTTTCGAAATTTTCAAAATTTTGAAAATTCGAGATAGCAGTTTGATAGCGCGGTCAATTCTGAGTGCTTTCATGCAAAGAAATTGGATCTAGCTTAAAAACTGAGCTCTTGGGAGCGATTGCCGTGGTTCAATGTTTTGCGCATAGGTGGGCATCGTTCCCCAAAATTGTAACTTCGTTACTCGTTCCTCCGTTCCTTCAAAACGAGACTTCCGTTACTCGTTCCTCCGCTCCTCTGCATCTAATGTAACGGAAGTTCTTTAGTCCGTTACTCCGTTACAGCAAAATAAAAAACGTTAAAATGTTGGGTATTTCACACATTTTTTAGGCCATTCTGACAAAAACTAAACCTACCGAGAAAGCGGAATGCCCACCAAATCTACCAAGACAGCGGGCACTGATTGGACACTAAACCTTGGAACGTCTGGTGGTACTGATGCGCATCACTTGCCCCTGGCCAGATGCCGGTTGCCCTTCACGAACACTAGACGTTCCGTTGGCATGTGAGAGCATAGGCGGCGGAACGGGGGGGGGGGGGGCACCGGCGCACCGTGCCCCCCTTTGATTTTGGCATTTTGAGTTTTAACATTAGCCCTATGTGCTATGCATGGAAAGAATGAGACCAAAAGTCGGCAGTGCCCCCCCCCCTCCCCCTAATTGAAGATGTTCCGCTGCCACTTTCTGAGAGGGTAGCCCTTTTTGCACGTAGCAATCTTTTCTCATTGAGAACATGCGCAAAACATGCGCTCTACTGAGGCGCTTGAAGGGACGCCCGTGTTGAACTTTGCGAACACATACTGCAACGCCGGCTCATTGCGGAAGGCCAGTGCACTGAGGCCATCTTCCGTCTTCAAGTCAGGGCTGCTCAATAATCCACTATTCCGCTGCTGCATTAATGTCTGCGGGTTAGCTGAAAGATCAACCCACTCGGACAACGAAAAGTAACGGAGGAACGAAGGAACGGACTAAACTGTTAAGTGTAACGGAGGAACGAACAACCAATGTAACGGAAGTTACTTGGTCCGTTACCCTTTTTAAAATGTAACGAGTCCGTTCCTCCGTTCCTAAAAATTGTAACGGCGTTCCGGAACGGAGGAACGGAGGAACGGATCGTGCCCACCTATGGTTTTGCGTCGAAATCGGGCGAACATGACGTCACTGTGACGTCATTTTCGGCCAACCTATGGTAGCTACGAAGTTCAAATTTTGACACAAGGTGTAAAATTGATGCAGCCGAAGGTACTGAAAGTTTGGCGTCGATCCGTCAAGCGATTTGGAAGTTATTGCAGAAAAACGGGAGGGGGGCTATAAATAGCCCCCCCCCCAGTGGGGCGCGGGTTAAAATTGGGTATCAACGGCCTCCTCTCGTCACGGGCAACACGCTCTTTTTCCGCGAAGCTCTAGCTCAATCAGGGGCTGAACGGCAAGGGGGTCCAACGGATCCCCTCCCCTTTACGCTAGACACTGGCAAAACACCAATATATGAGCGAGGGTTAAAATACAGCTGCTGTCATACAATTTCGGATGGAATCAAAGGTCAGGTGTGCAAAATTTCAGCTCTCGCAGCAAATAGACATGTGGAGGCGGCACCCCTCTCCCCGCCCCCCTCTTCTCCTCTCGGCCACTACCAGCAAGGTTTTAAACGTATCATACACATTACAAAGCATCATATCAGATGACGCACCCGAGTAGCAATATGCACTGAACAAAAGCTTGTTACCCACCAGTAGTCTATAGGCACCATAGCACATGGTCGAGAGTGAGACTGTCGTCAGTCACGGACGCGCACTCGACCAACCCTCCGAGCCCGTTGACTGCGGGTGGCCTTGATATGTCAAGCCTGATCGGCCGCCGGCCGCTGTGACGCGGTCGTTACACGCGGAGGGGAGGGAGACACAAAGCTCTACGTTATAGCTGACCTCTGACCTTTCCCCGTGCCCTGGTCACTGACCCCGCTCCATGTCGCTGGGCGGTGGCATGGCGGTGGAAACTGGTTCTAGCCTCTACACATGCCACCATTCTAACGCTCCCCTCCCCACGCTACTACGCGGCGTGGGGTAGTACGCTCGTGCGTAACTGGGCGGAGCAAAGGGTCACGCGATACAGGGGCGGAACTGGTTGCCCTCCCGCTCGCCGAGTGACCAACGACTAATACCTTGGAGAACCGTACATTTTGTCGTCCTTGCTTGGCGTTGATAGCGTCCTCCTGAGCCGAAATTGGCGCCCTCCTGAGCCGAAATTGGCGCCCTCCTGACCCGAAATTGGCGCCCTCCTGAGCCAAAATTGGCGCCCTCACCAATTTTATCCCCCTCCGAAACTTTTTTCCTGGCTGCGCCCCTGACTGGTGGCATAGGTATTGGTGTATCACAAGTGATTGCGAGTTTCTAACTTATATAGTGCGCAGTGCGCACACAAAAGCTTGCATAATACATTATGGATATTTTCAATGAAATGAGTGTTTTAACCCTATTAGTGGCAGGGGGGTTGTTTTTATCCACCCCTCAGGTTTTTCGGGAATATCTCCGAAACCGCTGAAGCTACGATGCTGAAGTTTTCTGACTTTTCCTAAAACTAAATTGGGCACATTCCCTGCAAATTTCAAGTTCATAACTTTACCAGGGGCGGCTCCAGAGCACTGGGAATTGGGGGGTCCTATTCGTGAAGCGAGTCATTTGGGCGAAGATCACGATGCTGCACCAGTTCTACGAACAGTGAATGAAAGGTATCATGTGATAACATATACAGTTATTGTGCATCCTCTTTTGACACGTTTTTGCTATAATAGGCGGATCCAGGCGTCCAAAAAGGGGGGTTATGTTTTACCTCCCAACATAGGTGCCCTGACACCGCCTATGCATGACCAATACAATTGTAGTCGTTCTCTCATAAGGAAATTGTAACATAACAAGACCATTATCAGCCCTTTTTAGAAACAGTAGGGTAAGGTGCCTAATTAGCGACCCCCTTAGTTTGAACCGTCATTGCTCACGCTCTGTGGGTGCCACTGTATTACTGGCTTGATTTTCGGAGAGGTCGTTCATTTTCTATTAAAATATAGTCATTTTCTGCCCCAATATTCACTAACTTATTTGTAGTGAGCATTTTGGCAGACCATTGCAAAAAACGCTAATAGGGAACTCTTCCCGATTAGCGACCGGGGAGGGTCGCTAATAAGTCTATGGGTTTCCCCATATTAAAAATGGCAAAAAATGCGACGCCTGAAAAGATGAAATATGATCTCAAAAAGGTAACCTATACGCAAAGCACTCAATCACTCAAACATGCACGTTTATCCAACACATTTACGTAAGTAAAAACTGATCACGTGATGCACTGAAGGCGAAAAGAAGGCGGAAACCCAAATTTTGCGGGCTATCTCGTATGATATTTGAGGTCCGCGCTGAATTCAATTCGGCACCCCTGCAGTCGGTGACGACATTTGGGCCACACATTGCAAGCTTCAGCAACACCTCATTTTCATTTCTCCCTTTTCCCCTTTCTTTCCCTTCTTGAGCTATTTGCGACCATGTCAGGCGCAAATAGGAAATATGAGTTGCGACACATTTTTAACCGCCATGCTGTGCACAGTTGAGCGATTCACTATGGGAAAACGGCAATCAATTGAAAAAGGAATGTCGATTCAGAATAAAAAAGGTGCATCATCCTAATGTGCATCGCTTTTCATCAGAGGGGGCCCAAACACACACTTTTTGGATAAGAAACTCGTCATTTTTATTTAAACTCACCTGAAACGTCCCACCAGAAACATCGACGACCGGAAAATAATTTAATTTGATAACCAAAGTATGGCTGACCTTTTGACGATGTTTTTACCCCGTTTTCTCCTGCCAGTTTTTCTGTAGAGAGGTAGGTCGCAAATCGGAAAGGGTCGCTAATTAGGCACCTTACCCTACCAACAAAAACCTTATTTACTATACTTTTTGTGTACCCCCAATCTCAATGATCTGTATCCGCCTATGATTTTTGAAAATGCATATTTTTAGGATCCATGTGAATTCCTGGTTCATTCTCTATCGATCGGCAAAAGTTGCGTTAAGATTGGTTCAGAAACCTGGCCGTGATAAACAGTCTAAAATGTATCTGCAATTTGCCCGTTTTTACCCCCCTCTACCCCCACCCCCCTATTGACATTTTTTAATTTTAATTTTTTTTTTTTAATGTAGATCACGTTGAGCGAAATCGAATGCCGTTTGAATTTTGAAAATCGGCCCGTTAGATCTCGAGATATCAAGGGGGGGTCGTAAACAGCCCCCCCCCCCTGCCACTACACTGAAAAAAACTTACACCTAGAGAGTTATTTTTGGAGTTTTTCCACTCCAGTTTGGCGAATAATCACGCACCAATGGCATATAATGATTATGTTTTGTAGCGTATTCTTACTCTCTGCATTGCATTAAGGGCGTTTTTGAAAGTTATTCTTAACCCGCGCCCTGGTGTGGGTCTGAGCCACCTTCGCCCTGGTGGGGGGGGGGGGCCAAAATGACCCCCCCGTCTAACTCGAAAACGAAGAGGGCTAGGAAGACGCGGAAAAAAGCAAACGAAAGCCCATAACAAGTACGTTCGAAAGTATTTCGGTCATTTTTTCGCTAAGGTCAATATTGAGGTCGCTAGAGGTCATCATAGGTCAAATTTCAGTGTTTTCGGTGTTGCCGGACATATTCCGCTGTAGCTCGGAAACTAGAAGAGCTAGAGAGCCGCGGAAAAAAGCAATCGATAGCTCTTTTCAAGCTCTTTCGCCGAAGTTCGTCAGATTTGACCTCAGCTCAACGGTTTGGCCTACAGAGGTCATGCAAGGTCAACTTGGCAAATTTCGTTGAAAATGTTTTTAACTATAGCATGCATTCACGAGAAAATAGAGAAACGATTCATGCACCATCGTGCTTGGCTCGTCGAGACGCGTCGAATGATATATAGTTTGACCTCGAAAGGTCATTTTGAAAATTTGACCTCAGGTCAAGGTCATGACCTTACCGAAATAGGTCATGCTGCATATCATTCGATCCGCATTGACGAGACAAACACGATAAACGTCGAACGGAGTCTCTATCTCTATTCAATAACAAGTAAGTGCAGAAAAACCGCTGGTGACCTCTGGTGACCAGGGAGATGACCTAGCGTGACCTCAGCGAGGTCACAAGCAAATGGTTTCACATGGGCTGTGATTTGCTGACCCAAGACACTTCAATAACGAAATATAGGAACAATCACGCCCGATTTAGCTGAAAAACAACTACTTTTCGATTCTCCCATTGACTTATAATGGGGAGCAGCGATGACCTGACCTGACCTTAGGTCACATTTATAAAAAATCCGAGATAGCCATTTTGTAGAGCTGGGTGACATCTTCAAGTACTGTAAATTTTACATCGATCGGATAAAAGCTGTGCCTTTGAGAGAGCTTTGAACTTTTTTAGAGGTGGTGTCAGTTTTGGTGACCTTGTGACCTGACCTGACCTGACCCGAACCCCCAAAAAAAGGACATGATGTAAAAATGTTGAATAAACAGCTATACAAAGTTTCAGGGCGCTAACTCAAGTGGTTTCTGAGTTATCGCTGAAAAACCACAGGGGGGGGGCCAAAATGGCCCCCCCCCCCACCAGGGCGAAGGTTAAACCTGGTACTATAATCATCTCTTTTGTGTTTTAGCAAGTGCTAATTTTATCTTCTAATTTTATCACGTGTCCTTTTTATTCTTTCGGGTTATAAATTTATATCAGTCTCAAAGAGACATGGGGGTAATTTTAGCTTATTTCACAGTGATAAACAAGGTCATTGGAATATATTTGTGCTGAACTCCCATTAGATGGTAATAAAATTGACAGCTAGAGTACTTTTATCAAAACTGCATAAAAATAAACCGCTGTGGAGTAATTAGGGTAATTTTTATACTCCATTACGGCTGATAAATTGACGCGACAGAATAAAACTATTCTCATGTAGGTGTAAAAATTACTTCCTTCGTGATAAAACTATCATGTCCGGACAATAATTTTATAACCATGGAGTAATATTATGTGGTAGCATTACTAACATTATTCTTCGGGAGTATTCGGGAGCGTATTTCAAGCAATACTGTATCACTTTCTTGATAATCCTATTCCGTTGTGACATAACTAATCTAAAAGTGATTAATTTATTCGTCCAGCACAGTATTATTCCAAGAATAATATTTTCGGAATGTGTCTGCAGTTCGCGACCATTCGCGACCGCCATTGTGCTCAAGTCGTCAGAACCAAGGCCTTCTGTCAGAGAACCGAGCAAGCGTCCCAGTCCTCGAAGGTAAGCTGAAATTACTGTATACTTTGTGTTTTGTTAGTATGACTTTACAGTAATCCGTAGTATGACCATACAATCCAAGAAATGCGTTGACGTAGATTTGCGGACGAAGATTTCCGCGATGATGAAATTCTGGAAGACAAATTGTCACCCATGGCCGCTACGTATTGGGTCCTCCGAGCTTCCTCCTGTGTCACGTTGATGTTTCCTGTCTTGTGGTCGATGTTACCCATAGTCGTCCAGTGCCCATTGCCTATCGTATTAAAACGGTCATATCCGGACATCTACTTTTTGTTGTTTCTATCCTCCCAATATCACGATAGAAGAAAACACGTTTAATGAACGTATTTACATCTTGTTCAGTGTTCACTGCCTGATAAAACTGTCCATGAAATTAAAAAAAAACGGTTCTTTTCTTTCTCAAAGGTGACTCTGCGGAAGAACAGCTTCCGACAGAAACTTCGGAACAGATTCAAGAACTGTCGAAAGCCACTGAGCAACGCCGTCATCGACACGGAAAGACGAGCCAGGGGCATCGTTGTGAAAAAGCGTGCGGCAGCTGAAGAGGGGATGCCGGGGATGTTTCCCAAAACGAAGAAGTCGAAGCTAGACATCTGCACCGAAACCGCCAAGTTCAGTGCCAAGCTAAAGCACGCCGATGTCACTCACAAGACATCTGTTCTCAAAGAATCCTTCGAGGCTCGGCGGATATGCCTCACGAGCAACCGCGAAACCGGAAGACTGGCGAGGAGATGAAGGAGATATTCCCGGATATGTACAGCGAAGCTGCCGTAAGTGTTGCTTTATTCGGTATTTAAAGTCTTGTCTAATGTTATGTGTGATTGAACTCGAGGTTCCTTTACTAACAGGGTAGTTCAGTAGGAAAATTTGACCGCCACGGTGACGTCACAGTGGCTATGCGTAAGCGTGGTGTAGTTAAAATGTCACATTTGACATCTGTGCCTTTTAAGGGTGGATTAATCGAGAAACGGGGCTTCAAACATTCATGTAAACGTGTTTTTTATAAACTTCCCAATTATAAGCTCGCCAGTTGACCCAGATGATCACCATGTTCCTATGTATTATGAATGCGTGGGAACTTTTTTCCCGCCAGCGCGGCAGCGTGATGTAACGGTAAAGGAATTTTGAAACTCGGCATATAAAACTTGGGGATGGTTGAACTGAACTAACTATATAATTTGTGGCACCATTTTATATCCGCGCTATCAGGGAACAAAATTGGATAGGAAAACAGCTGGAAAATTTGTATAATTTTTAACCCACTCCCTCTGGTTTTTCTACCGCCTGCTGGGAAGTCACCAGGTGTGGACTGACTTGGGAATGATCATGGGGCTCCGGGCTCGAGGAGGACGTGAAGGAGCATGTCCTGCACAAAATCAGACATACCGCGAAGAAGTATGCCCAGACGATGATAAACGTGGAGCCGGCCGACAAAGACGGTGAGTTTTGAACGGGCACAAGCACACCTATTCGGATGAGGTGTTCCGCTAGAAACACATCGTGCCGGGGGGGGGGGGATACTCTTCTATGTAACTGGGCTCGAGCCGATCATCGTAGACAATATATTCCTGGCCAGGGCTGGAATAATGTTTAGATCTGACTGATTTTTTTTAGCGAATGTAAAGTTAGGCCCGAGGTATTTTCGATAAATACGAGGTCAGGCCAAAACATTAGCCAAGACCAAGTGTAGGAAGGTATTTCCCACGCATGCTTCTTCCTGCACGATCGAGAAATGACGTTTCACATATCCCAATGGCGTAATACATTAAAGGGACCCTCCCACCTTCAAAAAAGTTAATGAATTGGCATGAAAGTGATGTCGCTCGGTTCACAAAGAGCAAAAACGAATATCTACCAAATTTCATCGAAAAATATTCACCGGTTTTCAAGATATTAGACTTTTACTTTTGTTTACTTTTTGGGATCTCCGCTGTTCCTAGCGACTTTATTTGAAAGTGCGGCATTTGTTGCGCGCAAAGCAGCATATACCACCGCGTGCTACAAAACGTTTTAGTCAAACATTTAACGGACGTTCGAAAGCCTGATGACGTCATCAGATTCCCGTAATGGTTAAGAGATAGGGACCACGCTGGTCCCACCCTGCAAGTAAAGGGAAGAAATTTCTTGAACACCATAAAGCTGTGGGGGTTGCAACCAGGATAAATGGTGGTTTCTGAGCCTGGCCGCAAACTTGGCTATCTCAACTCAAAACTAATGTTAAGGTGGGAGGGTCCCTTTAACCCGCGCACCGACGGGGGTCTGCGCCAACTTAGTACCGACGGGGGGGGGGCGGATGACCCCCCCCTGAGATCTCGAGAACGAAGCAAGATAGCGACAAGCGGTAAACGGCATCGGATACGCACGGTCAAGATCTACAATTTTTACTAAGGTCATTTTCAGGTCAGGTCAAAGATGACGTCACAGGGGTCGAAAAAGTCAAAATGGCGGCGCTAAATATGGAGAGAGTTTTTCTCGAATAACTTTCGAACTAGTCAAGATAGGAACAAACTAAGGGCATCGTCGTGATCCTCTCGTCAATCCGCATCGAATGATATATATGTTGACCTCGAAAGGTCAAGGTCAAAGGTTGACCTCAGGTCACGTGACCTCGAGGTCATCATGTATATCATTCGATGCGTCTTGACGAGCTGAACACAATGAGACCATCCACGCGTCTGTATCTTGTTCCTGTACGGAGTTATTGGCCAAAAACCTTTGGTGACCTTTGATGACGTCACATGACCTCACAGCTGCCCAACAGCAAAACAGACCTCAAGGTAGTGAAGGTTGATCGTATATGAAGTCATGTATGGTATATGGGGCCATTCCGACCCGTTTTAGTGGTAAAAACAGGGAGTTGATTTTTCCCCCATTGACTTATAATGGGGAGGTCGCGAAATTGACCTGACCTTAGGTCACCGATATCAAAATTCCGAGATATACAAATTGTAGCTACTAATGACCTAATAACATCCTGCGACTTTCAAAGGCCTCCGACATCTACTGTAGCTCTGGCACGGTGACAAAGTTGCAAAAAAGTGACTTGAGGTTGGGTCATTCAAAGTGACCTGGTGACCTGACCTTGAAAGGTAGGAGGTTCAAACTTGCACACCATGTGTAAAATTGATAAGGGAATAGTCATACCAAATTTCGCGTAGCGCCGCGGTTTTCCCGCTATTTGCGAAAAACCTCAGGGGGGGGGGGGCGGATATCCGCCCCCCCCCGTCGGTGCGCGGGTTAATAGCAGAGGGCAGGACAACTGTTTATTTTCTTGATGATTTTTTTTTTGGCTTAAAGGAAGACTGCCACCTTTTTTTACACAAAACGGTTTTCACTAGACCTAACCCACCTATGACCTACCCTGAAGTCTGTTTCCCGAAATTCGGCCTAGTTTTCAAGATATCCGCAATTGGACTTCAGATTAACCCTATTAGTGGCAGGGGGGGTTGTTTTTATCCACCCCTCAGGTTTTTCGGGAATATCTCCGAAACCGCTGAAGCTACGATGCTGCAATTTTCTGACTTTTCCTAAAACTAAATTGGGCACATTCCCTGAAAATTTCAAGTTCATAACTTTACCAGGGGCGGCTCCAGAGCACTGGGAATTGGGGGGTCCTATTCGTGAAGCGAGTCATTTGGGCGAAGATCACGATGCTGCACCAGTTTTACGAACAGTGAATGAAAGGTATCATTTGATAGCATATACAGTTATTGTGCATCCTCTTGACACGTTTTTGTTATAATAGGCGGATCCAGGCGTCCAAAAAGGGGGGTTATGTTTTACCTCCCAACATAGGTGCCCTGACACCGCCTATGCATGACCAATACAATTGTAGTCGTTCTCTCATAAGAAAATTGTAACATAACAAGACCATTACCACCCTTTTTAGAAACAGTACCAACAAAAACCTTATTTACTATACTTTTTGTGTACCCCCAATCTCAATAATCTGTATCCGCCTATGATTTTTGAAAATGCATATTTTTAGGATCCATGTGAATTCCTGGTTCATTCTCTATCGATCGGCAAAAGTTGCGTTAAGATTGGTTCAGAAACCTGGCCGTGATAAACAGTCTAAAATGTATCTGCAATTTGCCCGTTTCTACCCCCCTCTACCCCCCCTATTGACATTTTTTAATTTTTATTTTTTAGAAATGTAGATCACGTTGAGCGAAATCGAATGCCGTTTGAATTTTGAAAATCGGCCCGTTAGATCTCGAGATATCAAGGGGGGGTCGTAAACAGCCCCCCCCTGCCACTAATAGGGGGTAGCCAGGAGCCTGCCACTAATAGGGTTAAAGCCATCACAAATGTGTGGAATATGGGAATGTAACATTACCATGTTAGAATCCCATCTCCCACACTTTTTGTGATGGCATCAATGTGAAGTTCGAATGCGGATATCTCGAAAACTAGGACGAATTTCGGGAAACGGACTTCAGGGTAGGTCATAAGTGGGTCAGGTCTACTGAAAACCGTTTTAAACCGAAAACCGTAAAAAGGTGGCACTTTAACGACGGGTGGGACAACATGTTGTACCTCACCTTTGGACAGCCAATCGTCGTTGGTTTTGCTATCAGTCAAAAAGTGTTGTTTAACTCTAGTGATATTGAAAAGTCATGGTTGTCTCCATTCAGGTTGTCTCCATTCATGGTTGTCTTCATTGTCTCCAAATATACCACAGTTACATGCAGTTTGATACCTACTTGCACTCCATACTTAACCATGACAGCGGAACATCGGGTACTAATTTCTTATTTCACTGAAATATTTTAACGACGTATAATTATTTTGTAATTATGCACGTTTAGTTGTAAGAGTGTATCGTACTACGCAAACGTACTACGCATCGTACTACGATTTTGAGAGTGAAAAGAAATCAGGAAGAAGCGAAGAATCGTCTCCAGATACTGTAGATGGCATAGCCAGCTACTGTACGAACGCGGTTCCTTGTTTCTCTCCTAGGTTTTCTTTACGTTTATTTGTACGATATGCATTGATGCCAACTGACTGCAATATTCTTTTTCACGGCAGACGACGAGCTGCTAGCTCTACTTGCCTATGGTTGTGGAACAACAATTGGCACCTTGGCGGATCCGAGAAACGGGGTTCGTCAGGCAGGTGAGGAACTATCGGTGGACGGTGTGGTGGTCTGCCAACTGCCGGCCACCAGGTTGGAGACCGTGGCCCTAATGACGGCCGCCCACGCTGTCTTCTACACAAAGTTCACGGGGCCCTGCAGGGCCCTGTTCGAGATTCTTTACCGGAGTGTGGGATTCGATGTAAACATATCTGGCTTATCACAGAAGGTGTGGGAGGTTACCCAGGTAGTGTAGAACCAGCATCGGAGATGCCCACTTCGAATGACTAGCGACCTGTGGCTCACCTGTGGTTCAAGTGACTCGTGACTTGTGGCTCACCTGTGGCTCAAGTGACTCGCAACGTGTGGCTCACACTACTGGAGTCTCTATATTATGACTAATTCAGCTGCGGCGGTCTCAGTACGCCAATGAGTCTCAGTACGTCTTTCATAGCCCAGATCACGCTTGTTTTATATGCCATCCGTGGCGATGGTTCTGTGCGCAGATGTTATTCGTTAGCCTCAGTGTTAACCATACACGCTCGTTTTATCTGCCATCCGTGGCGGTGGTTCTGTGCGCAGATGTTATTCGTTAGCCTCAGTGTTAACCATACACGCTCGTTTTATCTGCCATCCGTGGCGGTGGTTCTGTGCGCAGATGTTATTCGTTAGCCTCAGTGTTAACTAGTGATGTCAATTACGAAAAATCGGAATACCGATACCAAACCAAATACCAACCAAATCCACGGGAAAATACCGAAACCAAACCGACTTTGGAAAATGAGGGAAATACCAACTTGTTACCGATTTCTTAGCCTCTTATACGTTAGCGGGGGTTTATGATACCGACAAAATACCAAACATATTACGATTGAAATACCAAATACCAAGTTGGTATCGGTTTGGTATCGGTATACCAAAAAGTTGGTATCCGATTGACATCTCTAGTGTTAACCATACACGCTCGTTTTATCTGCCATCCGTGGCGGTGGTTCTGTGCGCAGATGTTATTCGTTAGCCTCAGTGTTAACCATAACGCCCTTGTGAGTTGTGACCTTGAACGTCCTTCCAGTGATTTCGCATTGCGGCCGGCAGAGACGAAGTTTTGCCTCCCAGTTGAGACGCCGCTTCTCAACTAGGAAGCAAAATTACGTCCCTGTCGGCCGCAATGCGCCATCACTGGAAGTGCGTCCAAGCTAAGATGTACCTGCTGATGCTCAGGTACCATTCGTTAATCAATTGTTGGTGTTTCAATACATTATTTAAATGCATTCCTTATTTTACACTTGGTCATAATATTATCACATCACCCCTCATTATCAGGGGTGGTACTTTTACACCGGGGCTTGATTTTACCGGGGAGTTACTCCGGGGTAAAATTATCGAAAAAAGGAGTGCTTTTTGGCATGGCAATATTATTCCCCGAATGGGAGTAATTTTAGTGTTAAGTTAATAAAATTATCATCTGGTGTAATTTTATCCAAAGATAGCATACTTTTATCCTCCGTCATAAAATTACTCCCTAGCAAGAATAATATAAGCGTTCGGATACTAAATATATTCTATGTGCTAGTTTTATTCCCCAAAACTCCCCATTTTAGGCGCTTATGCCAGGTCATAAAATTATTCGATTGCAGGAGTGCTTTTTGGCATTCTAAAATTAGAAAATGGGGAGTAAGTTTTTTCAGTGTAATAGGGGTAGCCAGGAGCCTGCCACTAATCGGGTTAAAGAAATCAAAATAAAAGATTATCGACTGAACATAAATTCACCAGACTTCAATCGTGCAGTGTGTAGTGGGAAAGGCAATTCTGGTCCCAATTTTTCTCGCTCGTAGCGCTATTGGTTTGGTCTGCAGAAGAGGTGCCCGTCTTACCTATCCTGACCGTCTTACCCCACTTTCCCCCACTCGTGTTTGGTTAACAAAATTCAATAAAATAAATGCTGCATGTATCATGGTCGTGAAGTTGTCACGAGAAATTGCCAAGATTCAGTTCAAGATTTTGGAAAATGCAGAACGATAACCAAAAATCAAAGATAGCCATTTGATTGTTTATGGTATTGGCAGTCTAATGGCGTTTACTGCATCTCTGTAGGTATGTCTATTTTGTGATTTTATATGATTTTTTGAACATATGCCGTTTTTTGGTCGAAAGCTCAGAAATCATGACGTCACTAAATCCTCGAGATCTCAAAAAAATTTCCGACCGATTTTTTTGAAAATTTGTCGCAATAAACATCAATCAATTCTCTACCGGTACCCAAATTTTGGCGTGCACCTGCGGTGCGCCATTTTTATGCTATAGCGCGGCGAAAAAAGTGAGGGCGTTTAACGCCCCGCCCCCCAGCAACTCTGGAGTAAGTTGTTCTTCTGATCGTAAATTTCGAAGCGTTTTAGTAGGGGAAGGAGGGTGAATTGCGCCACCTTAAGGAAAAACGCTAATTGCAAGAAAACCGCTGGAAATATAAGCATGCACTGGTAACCATTTCAAAGAGGAGCTCATTGGCTGCGATTTAAGAGCCTCCCGATCAATTAATAATGTTTCGTTTGCTTCTGACAGCTGCTTTTTCAGAAACATGCAAAAGGGCGCATTTGCCAACAACTGCTGTAAATTGCGCCAGGGGGATGGCGCAATTAGAACCCAATTGCGCCCTATATTTTACATGGCTAAGTGAATGAGACGGAATGCATACACCCTGGCAGTCTAATGTCATTGCGGCTTACTTAAACATTTATAATGTTATTCAGGCTGGATGAATAATAAATGTAGATATAAATCGCGATGTTTTTTGCCCAGATAGATAACTTTACATGTGTCCGTACGCTTGTAAAAGTGCAACGAAAACGTTTACTGTAACCGACTAGATATATGTGAACGTATGCGCCTATACTTTAAAATACTTTGTGAATGACCTCTCCTTGAAATTGTATGTAGGATATATTTTACAAAAAGTCAAATACAGAAATGATAAATTTTCGATCACGGATCTTTGTCAAATCACATTCAAAATTCAAAAATTCTTTTTTCAAAAAAAATTCAAAATTCTTTTTGTAAAATATATCCTACATACAATTTCAAGGAGAGGTCATTCACAAAGTATTTTAAAGTACAAATGCTCCTTGCACAAGCACTAAGAAGACTGAAAGGTATGCGCCTATACAGTTAAATTTTCAATCGGTTCTCTCAAAATTAATAATTTTATAGTTTTGACAACTTAATGACAACAGTTTTTACTTTTTCATCATAGCTGTCACTTCTCACGCCTGAGTCCATGTTGAAGATGTCGTATTTTGTCAATTACACCACAAGTCGTAGCCTAAATGGCAGCTGCATTTAGGCTACGACTGACGATAGAGACAATTTGCGGACTGACGATAGCGGGCTGCTCCCTTGCCTGACATAAAACTCCTTCTTTATTGCAATCAGTTAATGATGCATTCATACTATCGTGATAGGTACAATGGCTACACCATTATTCTATTTGCGCCCCCCTGGCGCAATTGCCATGGGCGCAATTAAAATTGAGGTACTTTTTGATAAAAGCATAGAAGTTATCATTAAGATGTTGCAGGAAGTTTACGGTTTCAGTTAAATACAATGAAAAAAGGATTTTTCTTTCTAAATATCACTCTGAAAGTCACACAAATATCGTAAATTTTTATAGCCAACGGTTCAAAATACTGCAAAAGAAAACGCCATAAAATCTTTGATGGCTCAATGAGCCTTGCTGATTGGCTTCATCGGAGTGTTTGGGCCATAAAATGAACAATCCAGTGGTGAAAATAATGTTTTCGAACACAAAATTCTAAACATGCTATTGAATCCGTGGGAATGTTGGTGGGCGCAATTGGTTGGGAGGGCGCAATACACCCACTTTCCCCTACCTATATTTATAAAATACAATGGAAACGATTTTATGATTTCCCTGGTACAATGTAGTAAGTAGTAGGTACCTACTCATTTATATAACTATAGACGACCTTCCCAAAATTTCATTTTTTCGAACTTTTTCATTATCCTCTAAAAAGAAAACATAGCAACAACGTTCTTTCTTTATTTGAAATGCGCCACTCCTGGGTTAGGTGTCACAATGTGAGATTAAATGTCAAATGTCCCAAGCGGTTGGTGTTACCAATACCCATTTGTCTGTGTTTTTCTTAACCCGCGCACCGACGGGGGTCTGCGCCAACTTCGTACCGACGGGGGGGGGGGACGGATGACCGCCCCCCTGAGATCTCGAGAACGAAGCAAGATAGCGACAAGCGGTAAACGGCAAGGGATACGCACGGACAAGGTCTACAATTTTTACTCAGGTCATTTTCAGGTCAGGTCAAAGATGACGTCACAGGGGTCAAAAAAGTCAAAATGGCGGCGCTAGGTATAGGGAGAGTTTTTCTCCAATAACTTTCGAACTAGTCAATATAGGAACAAACTAAGTGCATCATCGTGATCCTCTCGTCAATCCGCATCGAATGATATATATATATATATATATATATATATATATATATATATATATATATATATATATATATATATATATATATATATATATATATATATATATATATATATATATATATATGTTGACCTCGAAAGGTCAAGGTCAAAGGTTGATCTCAGGTCACGTGACCTCGAGGTCATCATGTATATCATTCGATGCGCCTTGACGAGCTGAACACAATGAGACCATCCGCGCGACTGTATCTTGTTCCTGTACGGAGTTATTGTCAAAAAACCGCTGGTGACCTTTGATAACGTCACGCGACCTTGCAGCTTCCCAACAGCAAAACAGACCTCAAGGTAGTGAAGGTTGATCGTATATGAGGTCATGTATGGTTTATGGGGCCATTCCGACCCGTTTTAGGGGTAAAAACAGGGAGTTGATTTTCCCCATTGACTTATAATGGGGAGGTCGAGAAATTGACCTGACCTTAGGTCACCGATATCAAAATTCTGAGATAGGTATACAAATTGTAGCTACTAATGACCTTATAACATCCTGAGACTTTCAAAGGCCTCCGACATCTACTGTAGCTCTGGCACGGTGACAAAGTTGCAAAAAAGTGACTTGAGGTTGGGTCATTCAAAGTGACCTGGTGACCTGACCTTAAAAGATAGGAGGTTCAAACTTGCACACCATGTGTAAAATTGATGAGAGAATAGTCGTACCAAATTTCGCGGCGCTACGCCCCGCGGTTTTCCCGCTATTCGCGAAAAACCTCAGGGGGGGCGGATATCCGCCCCCCCCCGTCGGTGCAAAAAATCCTTTAATATGGCAGCACAACAATTTTACTCGAGCAGGAGCACGTAATGCTTGGATGAGTCCTAATTATGGCAAAAAATACTAGGTACTTCAGGACTAATGTCTGTCAAATAAGATAAGTTTTCTTCTGCTTATTATGATAGAAAAAAGTATAAACGTATTCACGAAAGTCGAAACGTAAAATTCGGAATTTCTCGCAAATCACCAAAACCAATGCGGTGCACTGCCCATGCATACCTGCACTTCTGTTGTCACGCTGCCAAAAGACAGTCAGCTGTCGCCCTAGACCTTTTTATATTTCTGATATCGGGGTGGGCGGTGTTCCCCAAAGGGCGATGTTCCCCCACCTTCCCCTATCTTAACATGTTCATATCCCTAGACCTTAGCAAACAAGTGCACATGAAATAAACGGACAATTTATTGTTACGTGAAAAAACGCAGGTAGCAAAAACGATGTTCTTTTACATTAACAGAAATTGCAAGAAAAAATAAATACGTCGATGAACGTGTTCCAAACAATCGGAAAATAGACCGGTAACTGCTATTTAAATCTTTTCCTATAGGTACTACCAGGTGAGAGAGAAGTGGTCAGTGGAGTAGACGGCAGCTGGCAGCGCAGGCGGGGGCTGCCACTGGGAGGCTGTTGGCCGGCGTCGTCTGGGGGGCCGCCACTGGGAGGCTGTTGGCCGGCGTCGTCTGTCTATCAGACGAACGTGACGCTCGCCGTGAAGCCCGTCTGAAGAGTTGGGTAGGAGCCGCCCCCATAGCTGTGAAACTCCAGGGCCAGCCGACCGCCCGACGACGTGATCACCTGATTCTGCTGTTCGGTGCCGCAGTTGACGTAGTCTGGAATCGAGTCGCTGTCGGTGTGGACGGTCACCCAGTCCCAGGGGCACTTGACATCGTAGCGGTAGAGGATCTTGAAGGTGCCGAACTGGATGCGGACCTGCATACCTGCGGGCGCGGTGACGATCCAGACACAGTGCTGTCCAGGAGGGTACAGGTTGGGGTAGTTGGGCGAGGTGATGTTTCCCTCCGTGGTGATGTCCTGGTCGCCGCACGGCGCCTCGTAGTAGGTGCCGGTGACGGTTTGGCACGTTGCGCCGCTGGTTCCCGGAGGACACACGCACGTGCAGCTGCTGTCCACGTAGCCGCCGTTGGCGCAGGTGGGCGGGGACGAGCAGCTGTCGTCGCAGAGGTACATCAGGCTGGCCAGGTGCTTGTCGCGGTGCGAGAGACCCTCGAGATTCCCAATCAGTCCCGACTGCAGGATGTCATTGGTGACGATGGTTGGGAAACCGTTACTTGTGAAGCCGAACCCACCGTAGTGCATCAGCGATCCCAGGTCGTACGGCACCCCGAGCCACTGCCCGGCCGTCTCGATCCGGAAGTTGAAGGCCATCTCGCTCTTGATGTTGTCCCAGACCACGGTCACGTGGTTGCCCCGGTCGCCGCGGGACTGTTCGTGGAAGAAGCCGATGGCGTGGCCGATCTCGTGCGCCACCACGCCCAGGTACTGGCACCCGTCGCCGACGCTGAGTAGCTGGCCGCTGCTCGAGTTCGTCATACCCATGGCCGACCAGCACCCATCGCTCTTGATAAAGCGCACGTGCGGTCCGCCGCTGTAGCTCTCCGGCTTCTGCTGGAAAGTGATGCACGTCACCGCCTCCCAGTGGGCGATGGCCGCCAGGATGACGGAGCTCTCGCCGGACGAAGACGATGTGATAACAAACGGCACGACGCCGTTCGTCCAGGTCTGGCTGAGGAGACCCTTGCGGCTGAGGCGCTGCTCTTCGGAGAGTAGGATGTCTCCTTCGAACAGCTCCCGAACTGTGCCGTCGGGCAGAGTGACATTCAATGGCGGCAGCAGGCGGAACGGCGGCACGGGCGGCGGCTCGGGCTGCCCGGCCCGGCCGGGACGAGCCTCGACAGCTACCGCGAGCACCGACAGCAGCAGCACGCGGCGCAGACCAGCCATGGCCGAGCGGTGAGGAGGGACGCCCGGCCGCCCACTTTATAGCCCCTGCCCCCTGCCGAGGTGTCGTGACCGCAGCCAGGGGGCAATCAGCGCCCTGACAGCCAGCTCCGAGTGGCTCGGCTGACAAATTGCCGGCGCCAGACTGCTGACGGTACACTTGTGCCACTGTGCCGTCGGAGTTGCAGCACCGCAGGCCATGCAAACCTGCCACCGCAGCTGTAAATCTTTTTCATCAATTGGGAGAAGTTAATAATTCGTTTCAGCGACAGACCTATTTCTGTGACTAAGAGCGTTAAGAAGAGCTCGCCGACGGTGCGGGTCGCTTGCTCGGCGTATTGCTCGGTCGCCCGGCCTCCGACTGGAACGGCACAGATTGAGGTACCGTCGTGTAGAAAATAAATCCTCTCCCCAACGGTGCACGTATGTACCATGCTGACGTGGGATCCGCACCGGCCGCAGCCGTGCAGTTCCGATGTGGAAGCCGCCCGTGCACGTGGCTGGTGCGTACCTATCTAGTACAAATTGAGAGAGAGAGAGAGAGAGAGAGAGAGAGAGAGAGAGAGAGAGAGAGAGAGAGAGAGAGAGAGAGAGAGAGAGAGAGAGAGAGAGAGAGAGAGAGAGAGAGAGAGAGATCGTGTGTGTGTGTGTGTGTGTGTGTGTGTGTGTGTGTGTGTGTGTGTGTGTGTGTGTGTGTGTGTGTGTGTCGCGCGCGTATCGCCGCGTGTGCCGAGTGCGTGGGCTCGGTGCCACCTGCTCCCCGTCTCGAGCCGCGGTATCAGCCGGACGGTTGGCGACTCGGCGGAGCTCCAGCGCCAGGGCAGCGACTCGGCGGGACTCCAGGGCCCGGACAGTGACTCCGCCGCCACCGGAGCCGTGACAGGTTAGCTCCGCCGCCCCCGGAGCCGTGACAGGTCAGCTCCATCGCCCGCGGAGCCGTGACCGGCTAGCTTCGCCGCCCCTGGAGCCGTGAAACGGTCAGGCCACTTTTAGGTAAAAAATGACAAATTTTAAAGTTGAAGTTTTCAACAAAAAAGTGTCTATCGGATGCAGTTTGAGCTCAGGAACACGATGGTGCTATTTATATTGGTGTACAATGTCAAATACGTGCTGAAAAATTGATTTGAAAAATCAATACCCCAGGGGGTTGTAGAAAATAACAAATAAGTAGGTACAAAATTATCCTTGATATTTTCTATATTTAAGTTATTTTAATCGAATAAAACAGAATCGTTCAATAACTTTTTGGCTGAATCAAACGTGACTCATTCCTTTATGTTTTTGATTCTCTGAATCAAAAGGAATCGATTCACTAAATTTTTTGAAGGAATCGAACGGTGATTGAATCAGGAAAAAAAAAACAAATGAATTAAAATGTTAATTAGCCGTTAACTCGTTAACGGTGCAAAATACCACCCCAAAGTGGTACCTTTTCGGAGTCAGCGCATCGAGTAAGCCCTGTATACCGATTTTCAGCCAAATTGAAAGACCCCACCGTTTCCCGTTACAATAATAATTGGTCGTTAATCGTTGAAGGTGCAAAATATCACCCAGAAGAGGCACATTTTCGGAATCAGCGCATCGAGGAGGCCCTGTACACCGATTTTCAGCCAAATCGAAAGACCCCGCCGTTTTCCCATTAAAATGTGCAGCATTTTGATTCAGAGGGGCTAATGCATAGGAATACCCCTCTGAATGTGTGAAGTCAGCGCAGATATCTAACGATTTTTAACCCTCGCCGGACCTATTGATTTTCCACATACGCGCCGGCCGAGGGGGGGGCGGGCACGACCCCCCCCCCTCGCCGTTTCGCCCCTGGTGGAGCTAGTGCGTCGCGGAAAAACGAGCGTGTGCGCCGTTACGAGACGCAGAGATTGGTACCCGATTTTAAGGTCCTAGGTCAACCGGTGACCTCTGAGGTCAGGTCAAGTGCCCCAAGGTACGGTTCAGTTTTTGGTGAATAACTTCGCAAAAAACGGCCGCAGAGCGCCGATTTTGGCAGCATCGTGTTCGACTCGCTCAGGCGCGTCGAATGATATACTTTTTGTCCGGGTCAGGTCAACTTGGGGTGTTGACCTCAAGTCAAGGTCAGGTCAGCACCCCCAGGTCACGAAGTTGGTCGAAAGAGGTCATGTCGCATATCATTCGATTCGGCAGGTCTTCCTGAGTCCATTGGTGGATTTCCCGACTCGCTAGCTCAATTTGATCAAGAGTTATTGACGAAAAACTAATATGACCTTGATGACGTCATAAATGACGTCACGCAAGGTCAACATTGCAGAAGTGACGCATCTAACCTTGCAAGGAGTGCATCAAATCACGATTCTGTGTGCTTGAGATAGTTGGAGGATCGTTCCCGGCGCCAGAATACCAGTTTTCATTTTTCCCCATTGACTTATAATGGTGAGGTCACGAAAATGACCTGACCTCATATGACCTTTAGGAAAAATCCGAGATATACAAGTTGGTAGACTCATAATGGATACTAGATCCTGCAAGTTTCATTTCCCTGTGACATCTCCTCTGGCAGTGAGGGCGTTGCGAAGTTGCGACATCTGAAGACCGTGCAGCGGTTCACTTATGACGTCATAGGTCAGTGACCTGACCTGACCGAAAAATGCGGTTGCTGTCAAAAGATCCGTCTTGAATCAAAGGTTAGCAATGCCAAGTTTCAGCTCTCTATCGCCAGTGTCCGAAAAACCCCTATGGGGGGGGGGGGCGGCACCCGCCCCCCCCTCGGCCGGCGTTTGACTAAAACGTTTTGTAACACGCTGTGGTATATGCTGCTTTGCGCGCAACAAGTGCCGCACTTTCAGCTGCCAAACTATTGCTTCCAAATAAAGTCGCTAGGAACAGCGGCGATCCCAAAAAGTAAACAAAAGTAAAAGTCTAATATCTTGAAAACCGGTGAATATTTTTCGGTGAAATTTGGTAGATATTCGTTTTCGCTCTTTCTGAACCGAGCAACATCACTTTCATGCAAATTCATAAACTTTTTTGAAGGTGGGAGGGTCCCTTTAACACTCGCCCTGGCAGGGTATTTTTCATAACACGGCCTGGCAGGGGGGGGGGGGGGTTGATGCGACCCCCCCCTCGCGATTGGCTCCTATGGCACCTAGAAACACCAAATTTGGTAGGTAGGTGGGCCCCCTGGAGTTCTCGCCCCTGTGCAAATTTGGTTGCTCTAGGTCAATATTTAGGGGGGTTTTGGGCACTGGTGGTCGCAGCCGCTAGCAAAAGGGGGGGGGGGGCAAAGTCACACTCGCGGGACATAACATTTATCCGCCACCGGGAGGGAGGGGGGGGGGTGATCGGCTAATTTTTTACGTCCACGAGGTGCCGCGCAGTTGGCATTACTTATGCTTCATCCATCTGATTCTTGCGTGAAATCTTTAAGCTCAATTTAAGGCAAAATCACCAGTTCCATTTCCCGTCCCACGGTGCTTCCACCGGTCGGCCCACTGCACCATGACGACGGATCGGTGTAGCATAGGTGTATACTGGAAGGTCAGGCACGCGGATTCATGACCTTACCACTATAAAACAATTCGGAAAAGTACAGACACCTCTTGCTTTGAACAAGCATGTGAAACCCAGAGAGCATTTTCAGACTATGACATTTAACCCATATAGGTAACATTAAACATACCTAGTTGTGTGGCGGCGGGAGAGAGTAGGTACACCGACCTCTGGAGACCCCCACAGGTTCCGAGCTTTCAAAATTGGCATCTGAGGGCCGCGCGCGACTCCTGCGGGGCTTCGCAGCGGCTCTATTGGGGCTCACTCAACCTGCCTAGTCTTACTGCTAAAAAGACTGGCCCTGAGCCCTAAGGACTTCATCAGTCTCTGCCAGCCCCAGGACCCACACCGGCTCATGGGGTCTTGACGTCGAAATATGAGGGAATCTGCGCGGGACCATCAGGACGTAAAGTAATCTCGATCAGGACCAACGTAAGGCTGTGCCGGAGACTGCGTGAGCCCTCTGATCTTCAGAAACCCACCCATGTATCTTTTCACGTAGAGGCCAGTTTAGGGCCCTCAGAGACCAGTATAGGGCCTGCAAACTACAAAGGCCAGTAGTTTGAGACAATCAGTGGCCGAGGTGGGCTCTCAGAGGCTAATGCGGGTCCATTACAGGCCAACATGGGCCCTCAGAGGTCAGCGTGGGGTCCTAAAAGACCGGCATGAGCCGTCGTTGGATCCCAGAGGCCAGCAGAGGATCCTCAAAGGCCAAGATGGGCCCTCCTCAGAGGCCAATGCAGGCCCTTAGAGGCCGGCATCGGGTCTTCAGCAGCCAGTGCGGGGCCCTCATTGGCACCTAAAGGTTCGTCTTGGGACACCACAGATTAAGGCCACCAGAGACCGGTGTGAGACCCTCAGACGCCGGTTGGGACCCCTGAGGCCGGTTAGGGGCCCTCATAGGCTAGATGTGGAGTCTCAGAGGTTGATGTAGGCTCTTAGCGGTCAACGTGGGCGCTTGACCGCCACTGAAGTTCCCTCAGAGGTCAGTGTAGGACGCTCAAAGACCGGTGTGGGAGCTATATTAATAGCTGGACTAGGTTTTTTCAGAGGCGGATCCAGCTCAGAGGTTTGGGGGGGGGGGGGCAAACCATAAAAATTTATCGATTCTTTCCATGCATCGTCCATAGGCGTAATGTTAAAATCATGCCGTTTGGGGGGGGGCAAATGCCCATTTTGCCCCCCTGGATCCGCCACTGTTTTTTTTTTTAGCCTCGTGAAGATCGAATAATTGCCAGGGCCCCATACACCTATATGGGGGCCCATTGGTTGTTTGAGGGGGGGGGGGGTGCAAATGATAAGATGGCCCCCTTTATTGACCTTTGGGGGGCATGGCCCTGATCCACCCCCCGCGACCGCCACTGTGTACACATTACACACATGCCTCTGAGATCACATACTAGCTCATGCAAACTCTATGCAGGCCCCGGAGTTCCCACGCTAATCCTTAAGAAACCAAGCCGGCATACGGCGTCACCACCGGGCTTCT